ACCCAAGCCATATACCCTCCCCCTCTGCCTTCCTCTAATAACATCTGACCATGTATGATACTAAAAAATCTTGGTCGATCTTGAAGATGATCCCTCACCAGTGAACAAACGACTTTACTGAGTTCGTACAAAATCATACTGCAAGAATAAATCCATAAAATATATTGATATTAAAATGATTTTTATTATAATAAATTTATATTCCCAAACTCCAAAATATTATACTCACATGAGCATTTTTAGCCTTTTCATTTACCTAATGATGGTCAGCTTGATGTTGGTGAGTTCTCGTATGCAACTCGAACAGTGTTGACTCCCGAGCAAGAAACTCTTTCTAAAAATATAAGATATATTTATTATAACATAAATATGTTTAATAAACTAATTTAAAGCTAGTCGCCGGTCTATGTTCCGTATGAGGAACAGATCCACCAGTATGAAGAGAGTTTCATAAACCCCCACAGTCAGATGCTTAGTTCTGCTTATTTTGCTTTTTTTTTTTTTGAACTCAGGGTCTCCCAAGCTCTACTCAAATCTTCCCATACGCCCTCTCCAATCCATATTGGACGCTGTCCGGACTTTCTAATGTCCGTAAACATGTTCCTAAGACAGGTCGCTCCTCTCCTCTCAAAATTTGTTATGATTCTCGTGTTATGCTCAGACAACCATCTAAATTCTTTATGTAAAAAAATATAGGCATAACAAAAAATATTAATACAAATTAAATCAAATATTTGAATTCATGCTAAATAAGTATACCTGAAATTCTCCAAACCATATATCCCTAATTTCCTTTGGGATCTTCCATGATAAGTAAGGAGCATCATATTTGTTCTTTATAATATTTCGAATCTTGTAAGTAGGTGACCTTGAAGGATTGAAGCTGCATGTTAATTTTTTTGTCAATAATATATAATATATCAAAATACAATAAACTTAACAACATAAACTGAACTTTCTTATCCCCTTCAAGCTCAATGTATTGATGCTTATCTGCTGCAGCTGCATGATCCCCAGCACCAACTTCTGCTGGTCTAGACGGTCCACCGTGTTCTGGCTGCACCGGATATGGATAATAATATGGGTGGGGGTAAGGAGGGTAAGGGACAGTGGATGGACTTGCAGCTTGTGATGATGGTGGGGGATAATATGGATAGAATGGAGCAGCATGTGCCTGATTTAGAGAGGGAAAGCATTGTAGGTCTCATAACCATCTTATATGATATTTATTGATTTAGAGAAAACATATGCTAAAGTTTCAAGAGAAGTGCTATGGAGAGTTCTCGAAAAGAAAGGAGTTAATAATGCTTATGTTGGGAAGCATAATACTAAGTTAAGTGTTGCAGAGATGAGGATGCTTAGGTCTATCTCTACCTTTCTTAACATAAGTCAAATTTAATACCTCTACTTTCCTAATCGGGTCATCTGAAGGTTGTCATTTTATATGACCAAACCATCTAAGGCGACACTCTTTAATCTCATCATCCACTGGAGGCACTCCAACATTTTTACATATATGCTCATTTCGTATCCCATCTCCAAGGGTAAAGCCACTCATCCACCTGAGCACCCTCATCTCTGCAATACTTAACTTAGTATTATGCTTCTCTTTTAATGACCAACATTCAACTCCATAAAGCATTGCAGATCTCACCACCATCTTGTAGAATTTTCCGTTAAGTTTGAGGGGGACTTTTCTAGCACACAACAAGCCCGATTCATTCCTCCATTTCAACCATCCAACTTGAATACCGCTGATAATATCCCCTTCTATTTGACCATCACTCTGAACAATAGATCCAAGATATCTAAAATGTGTACTTTTATTAATGACTTGATTGCCCAAAGTCACAAACCCCTCACTAGGTCTATTTCTGCTAAAATTACATTTCATATATTTAGTTTTAGATCTACTCAAGCCAAAATCTTTAGACTCTATGGTTGACCTCCATAATTCAAGTTTACCATCAACTCACTCTCTAGTCTCATCAACAAGAAGAATATCATTAGTAAAAAGCATTCAATAAGGTACATCCTCTCGCAAATGTCTAGTGAGAACATCCATGACTAAAGCAAAAATATATTGGCTTAAGGCTGATCCTTGATGTAATCTAACCGAAATAGCAAAAACAACTTCAAAATTAAAAAAAATAAAAATAAAAACTCAAACCTCGGAGGCCGGTTTCGCGCACGAGCGGGGAGAGATCTTCAGCCTTGCAGTGGGGGCGATATCTTCGTTTGGAGGACCTCGTCGGCGGCCGGAGGGCACGTCTCGATCGCGAGAGGGCAGAGGAGACGGGGGCGAGCGTCGCGCAGGAGAGAGAGGAGCAGGCGATGAAATGAAATGGAAGGCTTGGGATGGATAATTCTAGGGCATTTTCCAGCGGCTTTCCGGCGGTTTAGACCGCCATAAATAATTTAACACCGACGGTCCATGCTGCCAGTAATGCGCTGGTAAGATTTAATGTCGGCAGGTTAACCGGCGGTTTCTGGACCACCGCTGGTTCCGGCGGCTTAAATTTACCTAATCACCGGTTAGACCGCCGGTAAAAACCGGCAGTCACACCGCCGGTTAAGCAGTCGTTATTACCGGCGGTTGGAGAACCGTCGGTCCAGATTGCCGGTAATTGATGAATTTCATTTAGTGTATATGGATCAGTTCCTTGAGGCCTACCCCGGACAAGGCTTCGAATGGGCGCATGTCCTTCACGCAGAAGCTTGCCACAACTGCCGTCATCTTGGCTTTCACCTTCATTGTGGGCGCACGCTTCTTGCGCCGACCTCAGATGATGGCACGACGCATTTGTGCAAACCCATCATCTTGGTTCTTGTGGTCTTCCTGCGCGTGAACGTCTTCTTGCACTTGCATGCAGCTAGCTCCAGTAAGATAGAAGTGGTACCGTTGCGGTGGCAGATGGTGCCAAACCTGGTCCAGACATCCGACCACCCCGTGACATTGTTGGTGATGTAGAATTCGGCATCTTCCTTGTTACTCTTGAGCTCGCGTTCGATCACCTCCTGAGTAGGCAATTTCATTGTCATTCGTCCTGCTTGCTTGCGCGAAATGAATGCTGATGTTTTGTTTAGAATACAAAAGTACTGGAGTCACACAATTCAAGAATGCATTCATCATGTCTTCGTCTTCAAGTCTAGTTATTAATTCTTTTAAAATATTGAATAGCCTTTATATATTTTCCAATTTTCAAGCAAGTTTATTAATTCTTTTAGAATAATGAATAACCCTTGTGTATTTTCCAATTTTCATGCTTTTTTAACACAGTTGATTTATCCTTTCATGTTGAGCACCCACCCATAAGTCTATGGGCATACCCATACCCACCACCCATACCCAATACGTGGGTGAGTGTGGGTATGGGTGCCCAATGAAGGGCTCTGGTTTGTAAGTTTTTACTTTCTTGAGTTACACTATTTAAATGCATTAATTAGTTTTTTTAATGCTATGTCCATCACAATGAATAATGAAATTGTTTTCAATAATCTAACTTTCAATGCTGTTTAGAGATATGTGAATTAGAAAATCAATTTGGAAGAGATTTAGGGTTATTTGGTTGGTTGAAAACGAAATGCAGTGTGAAAAAAATATGTTGATGTTGTTTGGATGTATGTGAAATAATGCAGGTGAATATTTTTTCTTCTTTTGAAGTAAATGAATGTGGTGTAATGTCCAATGATGGTGGTGGTAGTTGCGGGCGGTGATGGGTGGCTGCGACAGTGGTGGCGACATGCGGCATGTGGGTGGTGATGGCCTGCGGCTAGGGCTACAAACGAACCGAGCCGAGCCGAGTATGTGAGTGTTCATGTTTGTGTTCATTTAATATCAACTGGTTCATGTTTGTTCGAGCTTTATTGTTTGTGTTCATGTTTGGTTCATTTAAATTAATGAGTGTTCATGTTCGTTTGTTTAATGTTTGTCGATCTTGTTCGCGAACATATTTAACGAATTTTTTCTAACTATCAAGCAAACACGTTCATGAACATATCTATGAACAAACACATTTATAATAAAAGCAATTGTCTATGTAACAAAGGCAATGATTAATTATTCATATTTATTAATTATATAGTCAAATATTAATTATTTGTATCGACTTATTCACGAGTTCAAAATTGAACATGAATCGAGCTTTTATCGAGCTTCTTATCGAGCTTAATGTCGAGCTTGTTCATGAACTTCAAATGATGTTGTTTGCGAACATAAATGAGCCGAACACATTAGCGTTCTAGTTTGTTTATTTAAGAATCGAGTATTTAAAATATTGTTCAGGTTTGTTTGTTTAGTTAATTAAACGATCACAAACGAGCTTTAATCAAACCAAACAACGAGTAGCTCGTTGAACGTTTGGTTCGCTTGCAGCCCTACCTGCGGCTATGAGCAACAACAGGTTGCTACGGGTGATGATAAGAGAGCTTGCTTACGGTGGAAATGGCATTCGCTCAAAACTGGTTGACTTTATTTTTCCTCAAAAATAAACTAGCATTTCTTTTGCTTAACTCTTCATTCCTTTTTCATCTAGCCAAAAACCAATATTTTTAAACCCATGTAAAAGGATTATTTTACACTCACTTTACTTCAAACTAAACAGCCTCTTAAGCATGCAAGGCTACTGAAGTATCCCAATTTGGTTGAAAGTTGTTTGCAAACTTAGTCAATAAGCATGACCTTATCCCAACGATATTGACATTTTACCAGAGGCGTGAGTCTCACATTTAATTTATGTGATTAGGCAAATTAGTTCTTTCGAGATATCACATTCATATTATCAGTTTATAAAAAGCTCTTGCAACAATATCATATTAAATTATTTGAATTTAACACTTTAAATCATGCCAAGGCACCATTGACTTGTAACATTTAAGTTCTTCATTGCAAGTGTTATTGTACTATTTGGGCATGCACTGTGATTTAGTCACATCTATCAAGGCGCTTCGTTCATACTTCTACTTTGGTATGCATGTTGATCAAATGTTTATTTTCTCAGGTGAAGTAATTTCAGAAGAATATTCTCTAGAATATGGTACAGATACAATGGAGATGCATGTTGGTGCTGTCCAATTTAATGATCGTGTCCTTGTTATTGATGACCTTATTGCAACTGGAGGGACCTTATGTGCCGCAATCAAGCTAATTGGTACTTCATTTGCTTAGTTTTTGGCACAGATTGGTCAACTTCTATTCAGATTAGAATTTATTGGAAAAAAATGCATGGTTTGGAACTTGAAATTTTATGGGAGCTTGTTTTCATAACTTAGATTTATTCATGTCATATAAATGAATTAAGGATATATTTATGCCATGCGGATCAAATCTCCTAATTGTTTCTAGTCCACAAATATTTGCTGTCGTAATGGGAAACATATAGATGGATGTTTACTGTTTATGGCTATTTTAAGAATTCTTGTTCGTTTATTTGAGCTAGCTCTGCAACCAGTGAAGCACATTTGCTTGCATCTATAATTATATATATATATATTAAAAAAAAATAATGTGTTGAAGCGAAAATATATTTTAAAACAAAGTACATAAAAACATATAGAAGAGTTTTTTTTTTCTTTTATAATTTATGCAATATAAACCAAAAGCAAGAAATTAAAATTGGAGGAAAAGTAAACAATGCAAACCAATATTTTTATAGTAGTTCGATCATCAAACCTACATCCACACTTCATTGTCTTTCGTGGGAATTTCAGTATGTAGAAAACTTCTTTAGCACTCAGCCAGGCAGAGAAGCCATTGTCCCTTACCAGGTGTAGAATGACCTTTACACGACTCATCTATCCCAGAACAGTCTCCATCCTAAAGATGCCAACCCCTCTTGCTCTCGCAATGATGGAGATGCAACTTCCTCGCAATGGTGGAAATGCTGCTCTATTAGCCTTTCCCAGCTAGTACCAAGACTTCTTGATGAGGACATCGAAGATCAACGGCTACGATCGTGTCTATTTATTTTGATGTATTTTATTTGTTATTTGTACTTTTCCATTTCTACCCTCACTTGAGGGCTTTGTTTTATGTTTGCCCTAGGGGCAATTATGTCTTTTTTTTTCCTTCATGTATTTGGCTATTTAAGCCCTCCCCTTCCACTTGGAAAGGGATGATAAATTATTGATAATGAAATTTTATGTTCTTGTTGATCTCTTAGTGAGTTCATGTTGATCTCTTAGTGAGTTCATGAGAGGAGAAGCATGAGGAGGGTAACTTGCAATACCCGTCAATCTTTGGAAGAGTCCGAGGTTCGCGGTTCTTACGATCTCTTTGTGAGTTCGTTAGTTATCTCTATCTTTCTCATATATTCTTGTTCATCTCCTTTCTCCCCTCTTCATCCACCCAAGTCTTCCCCTAGCTCCACCTCCCCAAGCCGACGACTATCACCCACCCGATCGCCGGCCTAACCCATCCCTCTCCACAGTTTTCTCCCCCCCTGCTCCAGCCCGGCACCTCCCTTAGCCTCCCCAGCCTCCACGGCTGGCCACCTGCCCAGCTTCACCCGCCGGCCATCCCTTAGGCCGACGCCCACCAACCCCCACTGTCCCCTCTCTTCCTCCTTGGAATAAAGAAATTTCCTAATTAGGAGAGGCTCACAATTAATGATAATTCAAATTCAAAATTTGAATTTGAATTAGCATTAATTACTCCGTAAAATCATCCCTCCAATTAAGCCAATAACCATTAATTTAAATCTGAAATTTAATTTCAGATTTAAATCAATTAATCACTTAATGCTCCCAATTAATGACAATTCAAATTCAAAATTTGAATTTGAATTAGCATTAATTACTCCGTAAAATCGTCCCTCCAATTAAGCCAATAACCATTAATTTAAATCTGAAATTTAATTTCAGATTTAAATCAATTAATCACTTAATGCTCCCAATTAATGACAATTCAAATTCAAAATTTGAATTTGAATTAGCATTAATTACTCCTTAATTTCCTCTCCCCATCTCTCTCCTTTTTTAATTGCCACTCTAATGGTAATTAACTCTCCCTCCCTCACTTCCGCATGCTGTCCCTTCCTTTTCCAGCAACTTTCCTCGCTGTCCTGCCTCCCGGAAAGCCACAAGTTGCTGCCCAAAGTGTCCAGCAGCACCACGAGCAAGCCAAATCCTTGCTGACCCTGATTGGGTGCTGTCCAGGGTCTGTCCAAGACCAAAAACTGCTGCTGTCCAGGAATTTGAAGATAGGAATTTGCTGTCCAGACAATCCCGATTGCTGTCCAGCATTCTGGGAAGTCAAAACTGATGTCAAATCCCTCATAGTGGTTATCCAGTCACCCCTAGTCTGTCCAGCAAGCCCAGCAGTTTCCTGCTGTTATCTCGACATCCAGAAGACCTCCAATCGCCAACCAGAAGGTTCCTAAGCCTTGAAAGTTGCTGCCCACTCTCTCAAGCACCTAAACGATCACCTCGGGACCTTTCGAATCAACCTTCCCTTGGGTCCCCGATCTTTTATCTTCGTAGTGACTCTCAATGTGGTCTAGTAAATTCATGACGATCATGTTAATGCTTCTCCCTAAAACCTAGTAATTAGAAGAGTTGTGTGAGGGATCTTTCATAGACTAATCTTATTGTTAGTATTGGAATTACTGTTGGAAAATCCATGTATGCCAAAGTAAGATTATTTGACTATTTAATGATCTCTACCTCTATGCATGTGAGATAACCTAAGCTAGGTACCACTTTAATATTTATTTTATCGTTCAATTCCGCATAAGATCTTGCTTATTATTGCCTCTAAATCTAAACGTGCAAACTTCATTAAGAAAATCATTTTCGCATGGGATTGTTTCACATCATCTTTGGTATCAGAGCCAGGTTAGCATGCTTTACATGTGCTAGATGCATCCTAGGGGTCTAATTTGAATTGTCCTTAGTCATTTGCATGCATAACATCTTTTAGGTAGTTTTAATTTCTGTTTCCCTTGTGCTGTCCCGAAAATTCTGCAGTAATTTCTTCATGATACATAAGCATATTTCATTGTTAAGTGCTGCCCTCATCACCATAACACCCATAATAGTCTAGGCCACTTAGACAATTGAATTAACTTGCTGTCCACTAAATTCCTGCACTATTTAGTGACATTGAACTTGTGATAACTTGCTGCCCACACCCTAGAGTCCATCTAAATTGCTTAGATAACGTCGTCCATCACTTTAGTTAGGTTTGCTTGTCCTGTTCTCCCAACTGCTGTAGTTTGCTGTCCACACAAAATTCTGCAGTGTTTGGTAGCATTTAAGTGAGTCTAACCTTGGATTAGGGTGCTGCCCAAGCCTTAGCCTCCTCCCTAAACACCTAGTGACCTAAACCCTTCTTGAAGCTTGCTGTCCAGTATTTTTTCTGCACCTTATAGCAAGTCGAAATGGTGTTTTCCCTTTGAAGAGAGTGGTACCTTGCACCCAATCGTCATTAGGTTTCACTTGACACTTACCCATGGACCCGATAAGACTCCAAAAGAGTTTAGATGACATCGTTAACCTAGTGGGCAACATGACTAGAATTATGACGGAGAAACCCGTTGACTATCCCCACTCTAATTACATGCCCCACTCAGCTTATCACCCGAGACCTGAGCCTAAGCCTCCACGACCTCACTTAGAGTCACCTTATCGTCTGCCTACCTTTGATGGTTCTTTGGACGCTTACTACTTTAGGGAATGGGTTAGACAACTAGAAGACTATTTTGAATCATGTCATATCCCTGAGTCCCACCAGGTTAGCATCGCTAAGTCTCACTTTAAAGGTCGGGCTCTTCAATTTTGAATGAAATTGGAAGATCATAAAGAGTCTCGCGGTGAGTACCTTAATTGGAAAGAAGTTAGACGGAAACTTAATTTGAAATACCGACCCTCTACTACTGACCGTCATCTAGAGCATCACCCTATCTCTTTTGTTGGGACAACCCGTGGACCTTACTGTGGTTAAGACATCCCACCCATTAGTAACATCCGGGTTGCTGCCCCACCCTTTAGATCTTCACTATACTAAATGGCCGACCCTCTACTGGGTCTTCTGTTGGACAAATCTCTTATGAATCCCCACGTGGACTAACTTCTGGCCAGCTCAATCAACCTTTAGACTCCCCGGTCTTTGATCCTACAAGTGTTATTTTAATAAAGGACAGACGCAGATTGACAAGACTCCCATGTAAATCCCCTCACATATGCCTTGAACATCCTCAATGATTCTCTCAAGCTCACCCTCACTCCTAAGAATTTGCTCAAGTTTTTCCCATGTAAGAGACTCACTTTCACTTCCCAAGATCTCTCTCATAGAAACCCACGTTGAGAATCTCTCCAAAACTCTTGCTAAAAAGAATTAAGTTGGGTTATTTAAATGAAACCTAATTTTCAATTTTTAATGTTATGATCGTATAGTATGATACTAGATCCATACCATCCAATTAGTTAAACACATGTTCTGAGTTATGTTAGATTAGACTGTATGATTATGGGTCATATAGTAAGATCAACAATATTGAATCAGTGATCATCCAGTGAAGGTTTGTTTAAATCGTACTTTATAATATATATCGTGTAGTAAGATTGTCAATCAAATTTTATCTTGATTTGATTCCTTGATCAATGGTTCAAATTAGGCAACATTCATTAATAATCGTACATTATGAAATCTTTTGTGCAATTCGATTGGATCAAATTTTAAATTTTAAATTTGCCTAATTTTGGTAACTCAGATCTAACAACGGGTTTTATCCAAATAATTGATCATACTATACGATCATATGTCATATAGTAGGATTAGTTATGATTTTAATTAATTTAATACTTTACTCACTGCTGCACTTTTTTTAGTTCTTTTTCTGGCTTGGTTCCATGTATATATTATACCTGAAATATTATTAGAACACTAAAGAAAAAACATATATATAATATGGATAATAGTAAATGATCAAATTAATAATTTTTGTGATCATCAAAATAAAATTTTGGGCTCACAGATTTCAACAGACAACTTTGGATTTCCATATCTTCCTTGTTTTCATTTTCTTAAATATTTGATTGCCATGAGCAAATAATGTTTGTTTATTACGTTCAAGCATGGCTCTTCTTTAGCTTGGAGAATAAAAAAAAATGTAGTTGATATATTTTTTATATAAATGTAGTTGATATTATTTTGTTAATTAATTTGATATTTTATTTTATTTTATTTTATTTATTTAATATTATTTTGCATGATACTTTTTACCAACTAGATCCATTTATCAAAACACAAAATGTAAATTTATCTGTAATTTTACCCAACATTCAATTTTACGTAACATGAGGTAACATTGCTCCTTCTACTGCACCTCATGAACAAATGAACAGCAGAATAATTTTTTCTAATTCTTGTGGAGGATTAAATATGATCATAATCGATATTTGAGTATTTTTTTTCTCATTGTATAATATATTTATTTTTCGAACAATTGTTTTCTTTTCAGAACGTGCAGGAGCAGAGGTGATTGAGTGTGCTTGTGTTATTGAGCTGCCAGAATTAAAGGTATGCGTCAGATTAAAAAAAGTTTTCTTTAACTTTTCGAGCACATATTCTATTGGAGAGTGAGAAATTGCAAACTCGCTGCATTTTTGTGCAAATTTAAGAAAGCTTATGCTGGGAGTGGTCTTCAAAATGGTATTAGGAATGTCTCAGCCAGGTTCAGCCAAGAATTTTTAAATTTTCTATTTTTAATGGGAGCTACTTTCCGCTTATCTGAATTGGGGTTTTGACTGAGCTCAAGGTTGGTTTCAGACCAATATAACATTGTAGGGAATGAAGTGGCTATTAGAAACTAGATGATTATGTTGTTTCCTAGGCTAAACTATCTGACGACCATTGTCTTGGTTTGAAGGGTAAAATCTTATTAAACTTGGTTGTTTAGTAATTTTTTTGTGTTTTAAGTTCATTGATACTGATCTGGCTGGCTTCATGTAAGTGATTAAAATCTTGTTAAGTAAACTTGAGATCCTCTCTTTAGTTTTTGTTTTTTGTAAAATTTCTAGTAGGTATCAATTACGCATACCTTTATGATTTAACAATTGTCATAGCTCTTTTATATACTAGGAATCTTTGATTAAATTGCTAACTGGTGCATTATTCTTTAAATTAATTGCAACATGTGAGACTTCACAATTCATTTGAGAGCACTTCTACTTCGACCAGACTACGACCACGTTATTGAAGAAGAAAACATTTGTTTTAGAGTATTCTTTGTTAGTGTGGTTTTAGGCAGCTTAAGTGTGCAGGGAAGGCGAGGTGTCATGATTAAGATGTTAATAGGTGTGTAATTTCGATCAAGGCACAAGGCCTTGAAGCTAGTGTCTTACCATGATTAGGGGGTGGGTAACTATGGGTGTTATTAAGTAAAAATGATAGATGGTTTTTTTATGATGGCAAATTGATATAGAGTAACGGAAAAAGGGCAAGAGTTGGAGATATAATGATGAGTAATACGAAACAAGTTTGGACATCCATAACTAATAGTTTTAAGTTTTAGGTCCTAGTAGTAAATCTTAAGGATAAAGAGGTTGATCTTAGGAAGACAGATGAGATGGACTCGAAATACATTTTGTGGAGGAGTGAGTATAGATAATGATGGATAGATTGTAGCATTTTTCTGTAAGCAATTCATATTATGTTTTAACTTTAACTATAAAATTTGAATAAATACATCTATGTTTTCTTTAAGATAATTTGGGATGTGTTGGCATATGTAATGCATAGAAACTTGTAAAATTTTGCCTAACCTATTTTGATTTGATAATTTTCATTTTATAGTCAGTTTTGCTTATAATTGATGTTGATTTTTAAGTGCATTAGTTATTTTACTTTTTTTTTTCATGTCATCTTAATTCTCTCATTGAGCTTAGGTCTTGAGTATGGAATTATTATACGTTAGAAAATCTGAGATGATAGAGAGAATTTATTATCTTAGTTTTAAATTATTATCTTAGTTTTAAATGAAGATTTTATCATATTTAGAAAAAGTAATGCAATACAGCTTTTTTTTGTGTGGAAATCCTAAAAGGAAAATATTATGGGGAGCGAGCGCGGAATTCTCTATGGATTAAGACATTCTCATTGGTTTATTTAAATATCCAAAATGTGGAGAATAAAATTCTATTTATAGCCTGCGGAGGCTGTGTGCACAGATTTCAGCAATTTCGACATCATTAAAATCATTATGACAATAGGATTAATTTGACTTAGGTTTCATTTGGGACGGCTTTTGTGTGCACACATTTCAGCAATTTCGACATCATTAAAATCATTATGACAACAGGATTCGTTTGACTTAGGTTTCATTTGGGACGACTTTCTTGCTGCTTCTTTAAGCTGCTTTAAGAAGCGATAAGAAAGCTGTCCCAAACGAGGCCTTAGGTTTGCAAAGTTAAGAGTCTTGCGTAGTCCTTGGAACAAATTGCGCATGTTTGGCTTGTCTCTTGTCGCGCCCGTACTGTTCCAGACTTCTCAAGTAGTTGGAACTGTAATTTGCAGTGAATACAATCCTACAGAACTTTCATATGTATTCCTTCTGCCCCATTCAATCGTTGTTGTAATTTACGAGCATTTTATGATGCAGGGTCGAGAAAGACTGGGAGACAGGCCGCTTTTTGTCCTCGTGAAAGGTTGAAAGGCGCCTAAATTGCCAAAGTTTTATCTGACTGTAACGTGGCAATTTTCAGCTGTGGATTCTGAAGGGTACCAACTGACAGCTAGTACTAAAACGATATTGTTATTCTATCATTTTGGACATCTTTATATTAAGTATTTTCTGCTTAATAGAACAAAAATTGTTAAATTAGTAGCTGTTTTTCTTTGTGCACCGGTTGATCAACTCATGAATTAATTATGAAGCCTTGAGTTAGGGAATGCAAAATCATTTGGATAGATTGCTGAGATTTTGTTGATTGAGGATGGAAAAGACTTTAGGATTTTTCTGTCTAAAAGAGTCTGTATTGAGATGAGATAGAAACGAAGAACTTCTGGGGATAAAATTTGGTCAGGAGCAGAACTTTTTTGGTTACAACTGTGTGAAACTTAACTTTTGTTATTAGTAATTAGTAAAATATGAAAGTTATGAGTGAACACCAATCGATAAAAATGCAGAATATATGAATAAAATTTTCAGAATAATTTAAAACCCAGATTGCGATAATATATCATTTTATTGCACTTGATATTCCTTCTATAAACTAGGGGTGTTAAAATTTGACTCGACCCAAAACACGACTTAGGTCCGACTTGAAAAATTTCAGTTTCAGATCATCATGTTTGTCATATGGATTCGGTTTGGGTTTGAGATTTTGACTTGTTTATAAAATCGGGTTGGATTTGAGTTGACCTAAAAATTTGAAATTAACTTGGGTTGACCCACCTTATGTTCGGACCTAGCACAAGTGCATAGCCCCACTCCATGCATTGCTTTTGGTTTGCCTCGTGTTTGGAGTATGGACCTTCATTGTTGATGACTTCACCGCACTCAGGTGTGCGTAGCACAGCGTGCCTAGCCCCGCACCATGCAGGAGTGCATCTCGCTCGACATAGGCGCACAAACCTGCACCGTGCTGGCTCGCTTGTTTAGCCTCGTGTACGCCATTCGAGCTCAGACCTACTCGCTGCTTAGCAGCTCGTGTTCGGGCCTTCATTGCGCTCACTCGTTTGCCTCATGTACACAGTCTCCTTTCAGGTCACAGACAGCATAGCGCGATCACACTCCACAATGAGCCAACCACGTCCGGGTTTGTGGGTCTGGCGGGTTAACCTGATAACACGGCGGTTTGGGTTTCTGACCCATTTATAAAATTGGTTTAGGTCAACTCATTTAAACCCAACTCAACTTTGACATTGACCGGAATCCGATCGGAAAACCCATCTTGACACCCTTGCTATAAACAATAGAGCATTCGTGTATGTGCAAGGTAAAAAGTTCAATAGGCAAATGTAAGAATCAACATTGTTGAATATTTTTTGGGCATGTTTGGGGCAGTTTTTGATCATTAGTTTTTCTCTCTTTTTAAAAATATATTTTTATTAGAAAGTTATTTTAGAAGGTAATAAGAAAATTATTTAAAAAAGTCTTAATTTGTAACTTGCTATATGTGATTATGAAATGTTGGGGGCATGATGAACAATTATCCTTCCCAATGGAAAACTCTGTTACAGATCTTTTAATTAAGGATTTTTTTCCCATCATTTTGGGGCAATTGTTTAAGCATTGAAATAATGTCCACGTTAACAAAAATAAAAAAATAAAAAAACTTTTTTTTTTTTTTTTGGCTCAAATATGAATCCTTTCTTATTTAGATTTTGTTTGAGATGATTTTTTAATGCTGTATAAAATTATGTTTTAGTTAAAAAAGTTTAATTTGAAATTTTTATATCAAAAAATAGTTTTAAAAATAATAAAAAATAGTCCCAAATGAAATTTTAGATAAAATCTTCTTGAACCTTTGTCGCATGGGAAGCTAAAAATGATTTTGAGGAAAGCAAAAGTATAATCGAAAGAAAATTTAAGCATATATATATATATTTGCGTTTTGCTTTGATTTGGCGGATCCATAAAAATAAGGAGTGATATATACTTTTTGCACTTAAAAACTATTTGATTGGTTCATCTATCATTATCTCTAAAAGGATGTCCTATAGCCTCTATTTTTATTTTTTCATTCATTTTTGTTAGGCAGTGAAATTTTTATAAATGATAGCGATCCTTTATTTATTTATAAATGATAGAATTAGGACTATAAATGGAGGGGCGAAAAGATTTGGCCTAAATTTTAGGTTGATAGATTTTTATGTCATATGAAGTTATAAGGTAATTTAGGATTAAATTTACATAATATGAAATTATAAAATAATTGATCTCAAGAAGATGGAGAGGGAGGGCTACCTTCACTCAAAGTTTGCTCGGGCAATAACCTTTGTTAACATTTAAATAATTTTTTCTCCTGATTCTTTCATTGTGGCTCAAGTTTGCTTTGTTGAATTCATATTTCTCCTTAGACCATCTCCAGCCGTTCGGCAACAACCAAATGGAGGTCCTCAAACGTAGCAATCGAATGCCCTTTCCTCCGCTATTTGATCGCAGATGTATGGATGCCTCATAGCATTCCAAGTTGACTTAAACTCATCCTAAGTCATTTTCGGATGTGCATGCTTGGAAATCATGCCAAATAAGGGTTAAACTAAAACTTGAACTAAATACGATTCGATCTAATACCCTTAAAAAAGGAAAAAAAAAAGTGCGCTAATTTACTTCAAGATGGATTCATAAGCTTGATATGCAGCAGTGAAATCAAAAATTATGAGGCTTACAAAATAACTATTTTCTTTTCAATATGAGAGCCCGATCAAGGGTTATTATGATGATGATGAATTCAGCCTGAAGAAAAACAATCATGTAAAAAATAAATTTTTATGAGAATTAAGGGATAACATTTTCTTGTGAATGGAAGAATAACATCGGCCCTTGGCAAATACAAGCATTTTTTTTTTAGTAAGAACAACCACTCTTACAATTATAATGAAAACAACAATATGATTTTACCTATAGTTTATTAGCAATTTAATCATTCAATTATTTTCTTGATGCATTTTAATATTTCTCACTTCTTCTCATGTTTATTGTTAACTATAATAAGCTTATATCATTCATTCTCATCGTTCGTTTGGTTGTTTCTTTGAACTTGATGGAAAGTTAATAATTCTAGAAATCCTCTTCCACATCATCTTCCATAGCTCCGTAAATTAATAGAGATGTTACAAAAGTTCTTGAATGTATTTTGCTCTTGCAATTCTAAATCTTTCATGTGGACAATTCTTTAAAAATGACAACTACATACATACAACCAATTCCAAGAATTGGGATGTCATTTTTTATTTGTTGATCTTAATCCAAACTAGATCTTGATGACCACAAGCTCTCTATAATAATCATATAACCTTAGATTGTTAGACCATTGGCTCCCTACTCACCACCATCTTCTTGGCCTTAGTCACCGTATTCTCATCCTTAGCCTTAGGTCAACGACTTTTTCCTCGAGCCTTAGCTAGGCTAACAACTTTCTCCTCATCCTTCGAATTGAAGCCTTTTTTTTTCTCAACCTTTGAGCAAAATGGATCTTTACAATCTTCATGACGTCTCCTATCCTATTCACCATTGGCTAATAACTCCTCAAACATCTTTAGGAGGTTAGACAAGATCTCCCCAAAATTTACTTTTTAGTATTACACGCTTAACTTGAGTGTTCTTTCTTTGGAACTGCCCTGCACCCATAATTTTATCATCATGAGTATTTATCTTCATGTGAAAGATTAGGGATGTGTGTCTTCAATTTTTCTAAATGGAGCAATATAGTGGTGAATGCAATTATTGCATGTCCTATCATTTGTAAGGCCAACATCCACAAAAGTTAAGGCTTCCAACTCATTCCCTCTTATAAATACCCCTCTTTTTGAAAAACCCAAGGTTAAATATTTCTTGGCTAAAGATTAGAAATAAAAAAATTCCAATTAGAGTTTTGAAAGGGAGATCTGGCATAGCTTTTAATACGGCCTTTAATTGTCAACTTGCTAGTCATTGACAACCCTTATTCCTGGTTCTTCAAACTTGCTTACAAAAGCAAGGTTCCTAAAAAATCTCTTTACCATATGGTTGATGCTATCATAAGAGGTGAAATATTTCTAATCACTTTTGCCGCAAAGGCAATTTTATGGCCATTCTCTATTTGCCCATAAATGAAGCTAATAAAGAAGAATAAAAAAGCCCACTTCATAAATTCTCGACCCCTTACTGGTTTGCGGCGCACGCGCGGGAGAGAAATTTCTAGAAAAAGAAAGTTTGATTCACACAGCTTCGGACTATTTTTGTCTGTTGGGCCAGCTCGAGAAATTGTTCGGGTCGAAGTATATTACATTTACCCTATCTAAGTTTTTAATAATCTAGAGTTTTTTTTGCATTTTTTTATTTTAATTTACTTCTTAAATTTGAACACAATAGTAGGTATATTCTGATATTTGGTAAACTTTCATTGAGTAACTTTTGATATGTTATATATTATAACATTATAGACATTTTGGTATATTATTTGTGAAATTTCACCATGTAATTTTGATTCTATGCTAATTTCTTATTTAAACATTCTAAAAAATATTCTGACATTGATAAATCGTATCGTAGTATAATAAAAGCTTTAAAATGTGGTAATTTATTTGTGATTTGATAATGTAAAAAATTGTGCAAGTTAACTCCAAAATTCTATCTGTTTTGCTGATAGTAGGCATTTTATGAAATTCTATGTTAAATTTGATATTATTTACTATATTTGGAAAATGTGATTATTATTTTTGTTTATGTTTGAAATGTATAAATCAGAGAAGTTCTAATGATTTAGTATGAGTTTTGGTGTACTGTGTGTATTAGGAGTTATAAGGGCTTAAAATTTTGAATATGATGTCTTTATGAGAGTCATAAGGCTCTAAAATTTTAAATTTTTATGGTGATAGGCACTAGAAGTTGTAAGTGTATGTTATTTGATGCCTTAATATAGGGAGCCAAGAAGGTCTGATTATGACTTTTATATTAGGCCCAGAATTCAGATGTCTATATATGTTGGGAGATAAAGGCCTGAGGGCATTGAATTTGATCTATTATGAGTAGTCGGTGTTGCGTGTTTAAATTTTTGTAGTATGTGGTCCAGTTTGATATATTTAATGTTTCTATTTGTATGATCGAAATATATGTATTTCAATTATTTTTAGCTAACACTAAATCTAAAGGTATATATCTATCTCCTGTGAGATAATGAGGATAAGTGTAATGTTCAGAGTAATCTACTTAAATTTTTTTAAGCATAGTCTACTTTATTATTTTTGTTCATGTATTGATGTTTGGGCATTATTAAGAATTTAGATGATTTTAGTGTAGCCTATTGAGACATGGTTTGCACATATGTGCTATTTTGCATATGTTTCATGTCAAGGTAAAGGGAAGGAACTTGTTGGTCAAGAGAGATTGCAGGTTTTGATCTATGAGTTGATATATGTATGCTTTGTTAGATTTTTTAACAATCATGACTTTTTGTTTATGTATAGTATTTTCCATCACGAATTTTTTTATAAATGATCATTTTGATTATATGCCTTTTGGGATGAATAAAATGAAATTTGATGAAGGTATTTCTATATTCATTTTTAGTTATGTAGTGGCTCTATAGTTTATTATAATTTAGAGATAAAAATTTTCCTTCTAATTAGATCTTGGAAGTATGTCTCGCCACAATCCACGATATTGTAGGGTTACTTGGTTAACCATATAAAGTTTTTCAAGATCTCAAATGCCATTTCTCCATGTATAGTCTATAGGATTGTGTTGTAGTTATGATAAAGCCCAACCACATATCTTTTATCTCTCTTGGGGTGTATTATATAACCTAATTGCACTTTAAGAATGTTATTCATTCATTTTTATATCATCTAGCCAATTGTTTGCATGACTAAGTACGATAACAACGTGCTTTTTCTTATATTGGCTCGAATGAGTATTTGTTAGATTCCTAAGATGTTAAATATTTTATCCTAGAAATTTAGCAATTTAAAAGCAATCATAAGTATTTTTCTTAAAATTAAATGCATGATTTTTCTCAAAGCCACCCATGTTAAAATAATCAATCTTAACCCCATTAGTAGACCACAAATGTACTGAAGTTAATGTTAGATTGCTTGTCATATCAATCAAATACATACTCCTTAAAGCTAGTGGAAGCCTCAAATTGATACATACAAATGCATAACATAATGAGTAAACATAAATAATTTATTAATGTAATTTGCTTGGGACTGGATGATTAAATCAAAATTTGCATATGACATATTATGTTTGCTCATGATAGGGCAATTCTTTGATTTTTTGGAAAGAGTATAAGATTCTTTCTTCTATATCAATATCAACTATATCTGTAAATTTGCATACAAATCATATTTTATGATTTTATGTAATTAAGTAGGTCTAGATGGTTATTATCTATGAGCATAATTATAAGACCATATCATGATATTCCTTAGTTATTTATAGAATTTTTAAGCTATAAGTCTCATTATGGTGTCTACATTATACTTATAATGGGCCATACTTTAATGGTGCATTTATTCCTTATTAGATCTAAATTTGGACTAACATTGATCTTACATTGCCTTAGTTCTTATCATTGGATAAGTTAGCATCCTCCATAGATTATAGAACTACATATTCACATCATTCAGTGTTGTCCCGTCATATGTTAAATGCATGATAAGCATGCTTTGTTTGATTTATTTTTCATGTTGGTATCTTTTCATGCGTGATTATATTATCTTCTTACATGATGGGTATTGGGTAACCACTTGAACTTTTTTTCTTAATGGAATAGGAAACCTCAGAAAACCTTTATCTATCAACTCCAATGAAAAATGAATGAATTTTTTTAATAGAGAATATTCTTTGATCATTCAACTAAGATGAAATTATCATAGGCCTAAGGCTTGCGCCCATGTCGATAAATCTTTAGTATATTGAAGTTCAACATATTTTAATAATTTAAATTCATAGAGTAAATCATCTTATATCCTTTAAGATAACACGATCCACTCTCTACTAATATTTTAAAAGACGAATGTTCGTATAACTAGTATGTCTTCCATTAATTATAATGCTCAAGTATTTGCCTACAAATATTTATGCCACCTCGAACGATGCAATCCAATAATTTATGACTCATGTCATCATAAAATTTTCATATTTCTTAGTGGATTTTAAATTTATATATTCTATAAAAAGATTGAGGAATTCAATACATATTGGATTGATATGCTATTCAATTAGAATTTGAATTTTAATTAATGGCTAATAGAAATATCATCATTTCATGATAAGAGGGTAGCTGTAAAACCCCTCCAAAGCTGATTTTTTTGAGTGCTGTTAGTCCGGACGAACTGGCCTTAGTACGGGACGAACTGAAGAAATTGTGAAAAAATCTGTATGGTTTGTCTGGACGAACCTGTAAGGGTCGGGACGAACCGTCGGGACGAACCAAACAGAGAGTTACGTCCAGGGACGAAGAAAATTGGAATTTATTTTCGTCTGGACGTTTTGGGTCCAGAGAAGATCGTCCCGGGACGATCGGGACATCGTCCTGGACGATCCTGCTTAATAAATATCTGAATAGTGTCATTTTTGAAGAGAGAGAAAGCCGAGGAGAGAAAAACGAAGGGAGAAGAAGAAGATTCACGTTTTGGGCGACTTCGGTCTGTTCTCGTCCGTCGCTATAGTTGGAAAAGTTGATCGACTCGAGGTAAGGCACATTCCGCCTTTCTCAATTTTCAGAAACGAGAATTTTGACGACTTTTCTGTCTCGAATTTTGTTTCCGTTAGCGAATAATTGATTTTATTTCACATTGATAAATGTTTTACCGTGTAACTTTTGGTATATTTCTGAGATGATAATTGTGTACGTTTTGAGTATTTTCTAGAAGATTTTTTTCCGATATTTTAAATTCTGTGGCGTTTTAATTGAATTGCAAGTTATTAGGATATTGAAAAATGTTATGTCAGTACAATGAAAGTCTTATAATGTTGTTGTGGATATTCTGTGATAATTTGGTAAATTTCTGAATCTGTGATTTCTGTGTAAATTCCGCATACTGCCGTTATGCCGTTGACGAAATGTTCTGACGAAATCCGATTTTCTGATTTAAATGTTTTGATGTGTGCATGCTATCAGAAGGGAGTTATAAGGGGCCAAAATCCTTTGAGATTCTGTCTGTGTCCGGGAAAATCTGAAATATGAAAATAAGTTCTGTTCCATAAATTATGTATATCTGATATGTTCTTGTGCTATAAGCACAATGAGAGACATAAGGGGCCATAATCCATCGAGATTCTGTCTGTGTCGTGGAAGGGAGGCATAAGGAGCCAGAATCCATTGAGATTCTGTCAGGGTCAGGGAATCTGATGTTTGATATCTGATAATCTGTTATGTGACTTATCTGGTCTGTTTTATGAATTATCCGATATATGATTTCTGATTTTCTGTATGATTCTGTCTGCTCTGTGAATTGAAAGCCTTATGATATCCGATTTGAAATGACTTCAGTTTTCTGTATCAGTTGTTTGATTTTCTGTTGATCATGTATCTGTTCTGTCTGTTCTACGATTTCCGTACGGCTATCTTCTGATGTATTTTCTGATGTGAATTTTTGACTATTTCGATTGGTGAGTGATGTTTTGCTGAGCTATTAGCTCATCCTTATTTTCTGCGTGGTTTTTAGGTTCTGGGAAAGGGAAGGAGGTCTTGGACTAGAAGTTCTGTGTCTGATCTGAGATTATGTATTTTGTACTTTTGATTTTTGGTACAGTCATGACTTTCCTGTTCTGTTCTGTTATTTCTGTCTGAAGCCATGGATTGTATTGTATATGATTGTTTTGATGAAAGAAAAGATAGATGAACTGTTATGTATTTAGATGTTTATAGTAGCTCTGTGTTTTCCTGTCTATTTAATATTTGGAAGAAAGTTCTGAAGCAAATTCCAAAGCTAGATCCTGGATTTTCAATAGTTCCATCGCGACCCGATGCGAGCGGGATCCGTCCCGGTCGGGTTGGGTCGTGACAGTAGCAACATAAAAAATTTGAGATATTTTGTGCATATATAAACAAATATGGAAGCCACCAACAAGGCTTAATAATAAAAAAAATAAAAATAAGGTTGATAAAATGATATTATTATTATTTATTTATATACATTTAAATCATATTAAATTATATACATTAAAAACATGTATTATTTTAAATAAATTAATATCAATAATGTTTAAAATTAAAAATATTAAATAAACTAACCTATAAAATTTTTGTGATATGTTATATATACCTATATATCCTCCGAAAATTTATTTTTTCAATTATGAGCCCAACTTGCTCGCGCACTCTTCACTCTTATCTGACCTGGTCCAAAGGCCTAACTCGAAGTCGGAGCACTGACCTATAAACGGAGCGAAACCCCTTCTCCTTCCCGACCGGCCCCGTACCCGACGTCTCCGATGGCGTCGCCCGCCGGACAGCAACCCGTCAAGAAACGCAAGCTCTATGAGATGGAGCCTTCGCCTTCGCTTTCGCCGAGGCCTACAGCGACCTTCCCGGTCTCTCAGGAGGAGATCATCCGGCGGCGGAGGAACAAGGAGGAGATCAGAAACCTCTACGACTGCTACAAGAGGATTAAGTTCTGTGTCTCCCGGAAGGACCCTCGCCTCATGGCCGATTTTGAGCAGGCGTACCTTTCACTCATCACCGCCTCAAGAGGTCAAATCTCTCCACCCTTCATTTTCTTCAATTCTTTGTAGGTTAGTTTGGAAAATAATCACGGAGATGGTAACCCTATAAGAAGGTTTTATATTCTACCTTTTTGTTTGAAGATGTCATTTTGGTTTCGAGAATATGGATCAACAATAAACCCAATATAGTAAAGATCAAACCTGGCTGCTTTACTTGCTGCTAACTTTAGGAAAGGGAATGAAGTTTCTCTTCAATTTCACTTCAACCAAAAAGTGTGGGTGGGTAGGGTAATGTTTTGACTTCAAAATGACATATGGTGCCTCTTTTTAGTGTCCCTCTTTATACGTTAGTTGAGTTTAAGTGAAACTTATCGAGCGGAAACTTGGGTGTTCATCTTGGTACAATTTGTCATTTGCAGTCTAGACATATGAAGACGCTGTTCTAGGATATAATTTATTATGGATGCATGCAATTTTTTATTCATAACAGAAAAAAGTCATTCAACACGGTTTTAAGTGGAGATGGGAACCTTTGCAAATGACATAGCTATAAATTTGTGCATGTAATCTGTTTGTCAACGTCAGAAACAAGCACTTTTGCTTGAAACGGTATCTCTGAACTGCTGCAGACGGAAGTATACTATGATAGAGGAATGTCGTCAATTTATTTATTGTGGAGTGTCACACTTTAGAAGTGCAAGTCGTTGGTATACTTCATAGCTAGTGGTGATTGAAGGATTGGGTTTGATACCTTTTAAACTATCGAAAATGAAAGTGAAATAGATTTGGAAGTTGAAGGCACAGGAGAAGATGTTTGAAAGTTTAGTAACTATGCGTGTACTCTCTAGATTCTAGGCCATAACTTACAATAAAACACTTAAAATGCATCTAAGAGGAAGTTCTTCTGATGAGTTTGACTAGGGGTGTCAATTCGGGTCAATGGGTCGGGTTTTGGTCCAACCTGAGTGGACCCGGGCGTAAACGGGAACCCGACCCGTTTAGCTAGACGGGTGAAGATATACAACCCAGACCCGACCCGCGCGGGTTACCGGGTTGACCCGACCCGACCCGTGAACCCGAGCCGGACTTAATGGGATTTAAAAAAAATTAGTTACACGGCATCGATTGGATGTATTTTTTTGTCTTGTACGTATGCGTATTATAACCCCGTTGATTGGATGTATTTTTTTGATTAGTTTAATGGTAAATATAGACGCATATCTTGATATGTATTGCTTTTTTCAAAGAAGTTTTATAATCGAAAGAAAGTTTATTAAAATATAGTTACATGACATCGATTATGTGTATGTATAAAAAACTCAATGGAGTTCAAGTAATTTCTTAGCCATCGTTTAGAACAATTTTACATCATTATTTTTCTTTTGATTTCAAAAGTTTTTTTACTAATGGTTAGCCGGGTCGACCCGCGGGTTTTCAGTTCAACCCTAACCCAACCTGTTTTACAAACGGGTCGAAAATCCGAACCGGACCCAACCCGTTTTACAAACGGGTTGACCTGAACCTGGATTTTTCCGAGTAGGGTCCAGGTCGGGTTTCGGGTCGTGTCAATTTTTAACACCCCTAAGTTTGAAGCATATTCTCTTTGTATAAGTGTGGAGACCTTATAACTCATGGTTTTATGTAGTTTTGGTTTACTTACTTTTCATAAGACTGGATTTAGGAGTATAAATGAGTCGAGTATCTGCCTAATCCTGCTGAGCTTGTTTAATTTTTACTAATCTTGAACATGGCCCATTAAGAAGTTCTTAGGTTCGAGCCGACTAGATTGTGCTCCAACTAGTTTGGAAAGTTCAAGTTTGATTCGGCTTAGTTTTAAATTAAAAATTTTTAGTTTTTTATGATTTTTTTTAATATAAAAATAAATTTAAAAAGTTAAAATATATTATATAATGCTAACTTACAATTAATTTCTTAATATATTTTAAGTTAATTGAGCGTATGAGTTGAGTCAGGTGCTCGAGCTCGTATAAGATATGAGCTCGAGTATACTTGAACTCAAACTCGTGGCTCAAGAAGCTTGAATTATGAGCTTGTTAACGAGTCGAGTTCAACCCGGCTCGTGAGCCAACTTGGCTTACTTACATCCCTACTTGTATTCATAAATATAAACATAGAATAAGAAAACGAGACATCAAATAATCAACACCAACAATGATATGACCTCACAAAACGTAGCAAACCTTTTTGGGAATATTGCATCTAAACTTTACTATTGGCTTGCTTTGTAGGTTGCACAAGCGTGCAACGGATTGTGTCCGAACTTATTCCACGTTATGCATCATTTTGCCCAACTGCTTTGGAAGCAGCAGCAAAAGTTTCTATCAACATGTATAATTGGAGCTTGGCTATACTAATGAGAGGTGAAGATCTAGATGGTATTGCATATCAGACTGCTAAGACCTGCATTTTTGGATTGGTTGATATATGTTCTACAGCTTCATATGAAGCTCCAACATCATCTGTAATCCACGGCATCTGTGCCGCTGTTTTTCGAAATGTTTTGACCTTCTTCATTTCATGCTTTGAGGGAAAGGAGATATATGGCATTGGAAACATGGAGATTCTAAAGCTTCAAGGACCCATTGATGATTTTTATATTCTGAAGCAAGAAAGGGAAGATGACAGTGAATCTTCATTGAGCAAGTTATTCAAGTATGGAGCTCTTTGCTTGCTGCGCATATTCTTCTCTTTTCCTAAGAACTTACTTGCAGCATGTTTTGAGCTCATTGCTACCAGTGGAACTGATGTCAATAATAAACAAGGACAGTATTTTCTTGATCAGGTGACTAGTCCTTTGAAGGCTGATGTGATAACTGATCCACTGAATAAGCATAATGAAGGGATTCCATTTTCTACGAACCCGGCAAGGAGTGGCATGGACCGTGATTTATTGGTTGAAGGAAAATGTTTGTCAGATGACGTTGTTGCAAAAAGCAGACCATGTTGTTCAAAAAATTGTTTTATGGGAATGGTAATTGGTTGACATCTTTTTAAACCTCAGTACTTTTATAAGTAATTTTAGATTCTTCACTTATGAAAACCTTTAATTGTTCCACCTTTGGTGATACAACTTTGCATTTGGACGCCCTTGAGTAGTAATTGGTAGTTGTTCCTGAGTTTTTCTTTTGTTAACTGTTTACATAAGAAAGTACTCGGAGATTAATTGGTGAATTACAATATACTAAAAGAATATGAGCTAAAACAAAAATTCTATTAATCAATGAATTATAAGTTTACCCATTAACATAATGTTTTCTGATGGTTTAATAACCTCACTCAAGCCATTCATAAAATAAATTAACCATGTATAATAAGACATTTTCTTGATGGTCATTATTTATTTATTTATTTTTTTGAGTCATTACAACTAGTAGACTAGTAATTCAATGAGAAATGCTAACTAAAACTAAGTTAACCTAAATGCTTTCTTTTGATTGAATTCTTGCTTGCAGGTGATATCAATGGACCTGCGTCTAGTGTAATTCTCTGTATCGACTATTCATTAGTGCAGGTTTCTGTAGAATCTCATATTTTGACATTCTTCTTACAATTCATAAATCCTATGTTGTGATTCTTCATCAACTTAAAATTTCAAAATATCGGAACATACTGGATACTGAAATAAAATTAGTTTTTAGCATGACAAATTATTTTTATCTTGTTTGACCAAATGGCAGCCTACTTATTATTGCGTTATTTTTTATTATTCCGTTATTTTTCTATAACATCTTGGCGTTTTTAATTCAACATGGTTCTACATGGTGTAGCAGGGAGTTTAATATACTAAATAGCTCTAATTTTAGTTTTGACCATCGTTCTGACATTTTAAATGGTTTTCATGCACGATTTACTGAAATTATGAAATATTTTGGCATTTTTAACTCAACATGGTTGTACATGGTCTATTTGGGAGTTTAATATAACTGGATAGCTTTAATTTTTGTTTTAACAGTCGTTCTGGCATTTTTAAATGTTCTTTATGATTTGCTGAAATTATTACTTTCTTTCAAAAATATTCTATTATCACTTTCATTGCTGATTGAGTGGTTGTGAATTTGTTGGTTTTAATATTAATTGCATTAGATTCTTTAATTTCGTAAGTTTATTAGTGCCTGATAATGCTAAATTTTACAATACATATCATTGGGCTTATTTTAGCTCGCTCGTCTTCATCAGGTAATAAGCAGGAAGCCATCATTGAAAGGCTGGATACTTGCAAGGTATAAAAAACTTGCAGACTCGTTAATCACACATGATGCTCTAGAAATATCATCGTTCTTGGAAAAGGTTTTTTCTGTACAAGAGTTGGATAAGGAAACTGCCTTTGAACAGAGTGATGAAGAAAACATCGATTCATCAAATATTGTGCATCGCAATGGGATTTGCAACAGAGCTATCCGTGATGATAATGTTGGTGATTTATCTAGGAGGGATCAGGCATCACAACTGCAGGATACATCTCTTAGCAAGGCACCATGTGTAGATCCTATTACTCCTGAAAGTGCAAGTCACAATTTGAATACTCACAAATCAGTGCGCCTATCAGATGTTGATATTAATATAGCTAATCAAGGTTTGTTTTGTGAAGGAGATAGGCCTGTATCTGCTAATAAGCTAGAATGTAGTAATTTTGAAGATTCACATTTGGGCAATTCATCTACGCCAAGGGGTTCTATTAGCAATCTTTTTGTACCTGCTATCTCTAGGAGTTCTTCGGGTATCAGAATGGATGCCTCAACGGTTGAGACCCTTGCTGTTAAAATTGATAGTATGCATGATTCAAATGTTGTCCATGGTTTTCCACAAAGCATTCCATCTCCTAAACAAACTTCAACTGCACAGCATCATACTTCTTCTGATCATTTTATTTGGTACGCTGATGGAGATCCTGCTGCCATGGATGTTTTCTCTGTTTCCAAGCTATTATGGTTGGGCTCTCTTGGTTTACATGCTTCTGAACCTTCAGTCAGACAACAATTTGAAAAATTTGGTCATCTTGAACAATTTCTGTTTCTTCCTGTCAAGAATTTCGCTTTAGTTGAGTACAGGAACCTAATGGATGCTGTCAAAGCACGGGAATGTATGCAAGGATCATCACAGTGGGGTGGCTTCCTTAAAATAAAATTTGTTGATATAGGATTAGGTAGCAGAGGAATTGTCAATGGTGTAGCTGTCGGTGATAGTTGCCATGTATATGTAGGAAAGGTGCCAACCCAGTGGAGCAAAGAAGAGATACTCGATGGATTGATGAGAGGAGTTAGAAATCCCCTGATGGTTACTGATCTTACAAGTGAAAGTGCTTTGCTTTTGGAATTTGGAACTGTCGATGAAGCAGCAGCTGCTATAGCACATATCAGATATCTGCGCAAAGGGTCTAAGAACCAAATGCTGCGAAGCAGCAACTTGATTTACCCAAAAGATAGGTCGAGGTAATTACTGTCATCATTATTTTTCTTCCTGCAATTTTTATTATTCTTTAGATTTTTTTTTATTCCATTTGATTCAAGTTGGATGGTTCAGAGTGATGGGGAGTAGCTTCAGTAGAAGATAAGATTAGAGAGAGTGGCCTTAGATGGTTTGGTCACATAAAACGGCGGCCTTTCGATGACCCGGTTAGGAGAGTAGAGGTATTAGATTTGACTTATGTTAAGAAAGGTAGGGGTAGACCTAAAAAGACTTTGTTAGAAAATATTAGGAATGACCTTTCTTTATTAGATTTAAACGAGAATTTGACTTTTAATAGGACACAATGGAGAAAAAGGATTCATGTAGCCGACCCCACGTAGTGGGATAAAGGCTTGATGTTGTTGTTGTTGTTGTTGCATTTGATTCAATGTTGGAGGGAGGGGCAGTATCGCTTTTCACTTGTGTGCATCTGCATTTTTGATAAATTTCTGTACAAGCTGCATTTGACGAGTTTCTTTGATGGCAACTATGTTCTACAATATACTCTTAAAAAATTTTAAATTTGATGAGAACTTTTCTTATTAGTAATTTAGAGAGTTCCTGAGTGAACTTTAATTTTGTGCTCTAAAACTACTTGAAGCATTCTTTCATTTATTTATTTTGTTCTTTTCTCCTTTCCTTTGAAAATTTGTAGCAACGGTATGTTCCACATTCAAAATGGTACATTTAGCTAAACTCTAACACATCTCTTTTGAATACATAGTTAATAATCTGATTTATTAGATACATAAAAGTGACACGTTTTATTCACGGCGGCGGTGGTGGGGAATCTTGTGAATTTTCATCGAGTCTTATTCATGGCACTACAGTTGGAGTTTTACGGAATTTTTTTTTATAAGTTCAATATAGTGTTTTCTATTAAAAGACACGAGTCATGTTTTCGTGCTTTTTTTTAATATGTTATGTTTTCTGTAATTTTTACTTTTTTGCTGTAATTTTATATTCATTTCAGCTTCTAATGACCCCACGTAATGGGACAAAGACTTGATGTTGTTGTTGTTGTTCAGCTTCCTTGTTCTTGCTTCCTAATGTCCAACATTACTCTCAACTTCTATTATTTTTTAGCTCCTCCAATCTTCTCGATAGATATTTTCATTCCATTGCTTAATTACTTAACTTCCCATCATTTCCCTTATTGTACTCTATGAATTTACTCGATGAAGGGCAAGTTTAGGGGGTGAAATTCAACCAATTTCTGCCTTGATTGTGAGTTTACAACCAATGTATTGAGACTTAATTATTTTTCTTTTTGCACCGTTCTTAAATCGGAATGTGGTCTATAATTTATTTTTGTCTTTAAATTTCCTCATCACTTTTTGAACGGATGCATGCCAACATCTCAAGTTTACGGTCAGCTAAGCTTTATTTTTTAATCGCCTTTTTTGTTTGTACAGGCTTGTTAATCAATCAGCTCTCTTTCCTTGTATTCCCTGTCACTCATGGGGTACGATCAGCTTTGGCTGTCTACTTGAGTGTGAAAAAAATGAGAATTTTCAATGTATTTTAAAACCAAAAAGGATAGAGTGATAAACAATTAGTGGTCCAGAAATAGTTGGGATAAGGGAAGTGCTGTTGATGATGGTGATGAGAGTGAGAAATAATTATATTAGAAGGATGGTGTGACTAGCATTTTTGGGGGAGATAGTGTAATATATAGATAGGTAGTTTAAGCATGCACAACAAATAATAGAAGTTGCACTGATTATACTGGTAGATAAAAATTAACATCAAAGAATTAAGAAGAAAAAAATGGTAGACCAGAGGTAGCTTGGATATAGCTTTCCAAAGAAGTTTGTGGAAACTAGGCTTAACATCTCATGCATCACTCTTTAGTGAAAAATAGAGGAGAATTCATAAAGCTGACCACAAATAGTTAGGATAAGATTATGATGATGATGATGATGATACATGTTTTTTGGCATTATCTCACAGATTGACTAATTCCATTTAAAACTGTGGTTTATGATTCTGTTCTTCTGAATTCTGATCCTGCATGCAGGGATATAGGAACTGCTTCATATCACAAAGAATTCCAGTCTACTCCGGTAAGCTTGAAGGTTGCCAGGTTTGTTTCGTCTCATGCTGATCTTCGTGCTTCTTCTGGGGAAAGTATAGCTCGAGCCCCGTATTCCAGTTATCTAACTTCTAAACCAGATAGCTTCATGCACGAACTTGCATCCCCAAGGGTCAAAATGGAGAAATCCGTCTCCATGACGTTGAAGGGCCATGAATTGCAATCAAATTGGAGTTTCAAAAGTGTTGCTGAGATGACGGATGTGGGATCTAGGAAAGCTGAAGAGCTTGGAAGTATCACATCAACTGATCTTTCATCATCAGGTATAATTATTGGCTATGACTAACCATTTCACATATTAATTACACAGTAAATTAACGTAGTTTTATTTTGAATTTCAGAAACTCCAACATCCACACGCACGGCTGAGCCAGCTTGGCCATATAAAAAACCGGAGAGTGGAGCACAGCCATCAGCCCATCGAATTATGCCATATGTTCATGGTGGTTCTGTGATACCTCCACCACTACATTCTTCCTCATCCATTCGCCCTTTCTATCTGCCAAATAATACCTGGGACAATCCTTCTCATAATCCTTCCTTTATGCTTCCCCAGGATAGGCGAAATCTTAGTTCTCATACGCCTCTCCCTTTTATACCTTCTTCAATAACTCCACTTTCTCAAATTCCCGCTGGTTCTATCCAAAGATTTGACCAAGTAGTTAATGCACCATATTTGCCAACTTCAGCGCCACCACCTCCACTACCGCCTGATGCCCCACCTCCGTTACCTTCTTCTCCACCACCACTGCCTCCTTCTCAGCCTCCTTTGATTCCTCCTCCCCCAACTTCTCCTCCACCATTCTCTCAGCCAAGTCACGAAACTACAAAACAACCTGGAAAACCAGCTTTGCAATATCAGTGGCAAGGCACTCTTTCTAAAAGTGGGGTTCACTACTGTACATTATATGCAGTCAGGGAGGCTTCTCTTGCTTGCAAATATTTGAATGCTGCACCAGAACCTGCAGAGTATGACATACGTATTGTATAAAGGAAAGCGAATGGAGTATAATTTTTATTAGCTGCTTAATTGATATTTCCATGTGATATTTCAGGTGGCCTGCAAGACTGGATGTAACAAAAAGAACAGATTATAGGCATGTGAGGACTACATTTGGCAATACTCCACCACATAGAGTAAGTTCCTGGATTGGTCGGTTAACTGTTGCTTACTGTTTGCTTTATTTCCCTTTGACCCAATGACAACCAGGGGGACAGCATAAAAGGCGATTGTGGGTCATGGAATTTGGTTGAGCTTGATTTTCAAAATGATAAACTAAATCATGATTTTGTATAGGAGTCTAAATGATGCTTAATTCATTATACTTGTACACATACTATAGTAATATGGTGCATTGCAAATTATTTATTATAATGGATTGGTTTGATTGAATAACAAAGTGCCTTGTTGGATCAGCATGGATAATTTTAAATGATAAATGCTCTTCTTTAGCAGATCAGGAGCATTGATTATTTTTGACATGCAAATGTTCTACTGCATTGATGTCATGTCCTTATCTTTTAGAGGTGTTTTTTCACATGAAGTCACATTTCCTACACTTTGAGAATTGATTAAATTTAGGGTTTTCCAATTGCTTGGAGTTTATTTGGATTTATAGTTGCAGGAATATGCCCTAAATTGTTTGCAGCTATTTTGTCAATATGTAATATTGACAAAATTGATTTAAATGTAAAAACTCTGATAATTGGGAAAGATACAAAGAGGCCCGTAAAGAGTCTAAGAAATCAATAAGTGATGCAAAGATTTTAGCTCTTAATGATTTATATAATAGATTGGATTCTAAGGAGGGTGATATATATATATATATATATATAATATATATATATATATATATATAGCCAAACAAAGAGATAGGAGTAGTAAGGATTTCGTTCAAGTGCTGAAGATCAAAAAGTGCTTTTATTAGAAGAGGATATTCAATAAAGGTGGATGAGATATTTTACTAAACTTTTCAATAAAGATTGTGAGAATATAATTGACTTTTGCATCCTAAATGAAAATAAGGATTTTTGTTTTTATTGGCTTATTAGTAAAACTGAAATTAGAGGCTTTAAAATAGATGAAATGTGAAAAAGTTGTTGTACCTGATGATATTCCAATAGAGGTATGGAAATGCTTAGGAGATGAAGGGATTTCTTGGCTTACTAAACTTTTTAATATTATTTTGAAGACAATATGCCATATTAGTGGTGAATGAGTGTGTTGATTCATATTTTTAAGAATAAAAGTGATGCACAAGATTGTGTAAATTATAGAGGAATTAAGTTAATGTGCCATATTTTAAACTATGGGAGAGGCTTATGGAGCATATGTTACGATGTGATACTAATGTTTTTCAAAATCAATTTGGTTTCATGCCGGGTAGGTCTACTATGAAAGCTATACATTTATTGAGAGCTTGATGGAGAAGTATAGAGAGAATAAGGTGATATACACATGATATTTATTGAATTAGAAAAAACATATGATAAAGTTCCAAGAGAAGTGATATGGAAAGTTCTAGAAAAGAAAGGGGTTAATAATGCTTATATTCAAGTCATCAAGGATATGTATGCAGAAGCTATTACTTATGTTCAAACACAAGGTGCTTTGACCAAGTATTTTCCTATTTCAGTTGGATTATATCAAGGATCAGCCTTAAGCCCATATATTTTTTGCTTTAGTCATGGATGTTCTCACTAGACATTTGCAAGAGGTTGTACTCTGGTGTATGCTTTTTGCTGATGATATTCTTCTTATTGATAAGAATAGAGAGGGAGTTGAAAGTAAACTTGAATTATGGAGGTCAATATAAAGGTTCTCATTTGAGTAGATCTAAAACTGAATATATGTAGTGTAATTTAAATAGTAATAGTTCTAGTGGGGGATTGTGACATTGGGCGATCAAGCTATTAATAAGAGTACACATTTTAGATTTCTTGAGTCTATTGCTCAGAGTGATGGTGAAATATATGAATATATTATTATAGAATTCTAGTTAGATGGTTGAAGTGGAGGAATGCATTGAGCTTGTTGTGTGATAGAAAAGCCCCCCTCAAATTGAAGGGAAAATTCTATAAGATGGTGGTGAGACTTGCAATGCTTTATAGTGCAGAATGTTGGCCATAAACAGAGAAGCATAATATTAAGTTAAGTTTGCAGAGATGAGGATACTCAAGTGGATGAGTGGCTTTACTCTTAGAGATAGGATATGAAACGAGCATATACGTGAAAAGGTCGGAGTATCTTCAGTGAAAGATAAGATTAGAAAGAGTCGCCTTAGATGGTTTTGTCACATAAAATGACGGCCTTTCGATGACCCGGTTAGGAGAGTAGATATATTAGATTTGGCTTATTTTAAGAAAAATAGAGATAAACCTAAAAAGTTTTGGTTAGAAAATATTAGAAATAATATTTCTTTATTAGATTTAAATGAAAATTTGACTCTTAATAGGACACATGGCAAAAAAGGATTCATGTAGCCAACCCTACGTTGCGGGGTAAAGGCTTGATGTTGTTGTTTTTCTAATATTAACAGTTCTGTATAAAAAAAATAGCGGTGGTTGTTGAGTGGTTGCATTATGATACTTTTATAGAGTCCAAAAATTTGTGCCCTAGTCTCTCACACGGGAGAATTTTAGGATGTGTTGTTAGGTTAAAATTTTAGAAGGTAGATTAGATTTAAGATAAGATATTTCCCAAAGGCTTCACCTTTATTTTGCAAGGGCTTCAAGATTTGGTTCTAGATTCCAAAGATGCAAGTTCCTATGATTAATTACCATTTTTATGATGAGAGAAAATGTTACATTAAGGTTAACTATTGGATAGACATTACATGCATGACGTATAGTAGCAACAAATTAATATATGATTTGAAATTTACTATCTTACACTTAAAACAAATAGTGGAGAAATAACGACGAACTCAATTAAGATCCCATGGTTTTGTCATCTCGATTTATCATGGTCTCTAATTTACTTCATCAGTGAAGGCAGTCAATCGAAACCCGACTAAAAGATCATTTTGTCAGTAGTAACGAGTTGCTTCGTCCAATAGAACTTTGTAAATCTGAGGTGGATGTTTGTTTAAGGGACAAATTCAAGTCGATTTTATATAATAGAGGATTTTGTGTCTTGTTCAGTGTACCTATGATTCATCCTTTGGGAAACTTGTGAGTTTTATTCGTAATCATAATTTAATGGTATCATTTTGCAACAAAACCGCCTGGTTAGGGAGCTCCAATCATATTTGTTTACTTGCGGTGCCATTTGACGGTAAACCATCAGTTGATTGACAGGTCATATCCTTATTGGAGAGATATTATTTGAGAATGAATCATAGTAATGTGTTGGATGAGACATTGGCTATTTTTTAGTTGATACAGATGGAGTCCCATTACCGGATCAGTTCTGGCTGGCGCACGACGCCCTCAGAGAAAGAATCTGACTGGATATTACATAAGAATGAATGCGGATCAAGATGAAAAAACAGAATGGAAAAGTAAAAAGTAGAAGAAGTGGTCAACCAAGCGTAGACCCTTTTGATCCAGAAAACGTTGATAGGACTAAGGAATAGCAGCAAATATCGAAGCTTGAACTTATCATCCTTAACAAATGTTTGTTGTTGTTGTATTATCCTTAACAAATGTTTGTGGAGGATAGAAGAATTTTGCTTTAAGTTTTGAATGGTAGATTTTGTTTTAAATAATTTTAAATCTTGATAAATATTGGATTTTTAGATTTTATTGGAATTTCAACCTTAAGAAGCTAACTCTAGAATTTGGGTGCATTTTGAAAATAAGATCCTCTCTAGTTGTGATTTTATGTCAATTAGATTTTGAATGGTTTTATTTTTTTTATTATTTAAACTTTATCAACTCTGCTCGCTTGCTAACAAAAAATTAGGTTCAAGTATTAATTTTGTGAATTGTTATACGTGTATGGAACTCAATATTTACATTTTTTAATGATTTTTTTAATTAAAGACATTGAAAGCCTGATATAAATATAAAATCAAATATCTTTGTTGATTTCACGGTTACAATTAATTCATTAGATTCAAGTATTCAAGTCTGATCAACTTCAGTCCTTCTCGAAGCGGAAAATCAAATTTCAATTTTAAGTTCATTTTTATTTTAGCTCACGCAATATTCTCAAGTTTTAGATTTAAGAATTTGATATATTGTTTGGAGCACCTTTGGGAAAATTGATTTTAGTTTGAAAAGGAGATTTAAATTCAACTTGCTTTTAATTGCGCAACATGCTCAAACTTTATATTTTGAGTGTTTAGTATGTTTGTGTTAGGCGGGCCCCTCCGGTCCTTACTCTAGGCGGGCCCCACATGGAGTTTATTCAAGGGTTGGAGGGAAAATTTGAATGGAAAGGGGGGAATTTGAATAGAAGGGTTGTTTAGGGATTTTGTATGGGGATGAGAGTTAAAGAGGGGGAAAGGGGGGAATTAGGTCCTCATCTTGAATTTGAATGAAAAGTTTGAGATCTCATTGTGTGCTTGGGCTCTAGGGTTTGCTAGAGACTTGTGGAGAGTTGTTCTTCCTCTCGAATTGAAGAACTATTGTATCTTTGCTGTTTTGATTCTTCTTCCAGTGGAATACAAGTATTGGCTTGGTTTTATTCCAGTTTTTCCCACTGTTTTCTCAGTTTGAATGCAGTTTTCTGCTGTCCACAGCAGAAATTCTGCTGTTTTCCTGCTGTTTGCTCTTCCGATTGGCTTAGGATTGCTTGCAAACTCAAGTATCACCTTAGGGTTACTTGCGGACTCAAGTATTTCCTATCAGTTTGTTTGACCATTTGTTGGGAAATTGATTTTAATTTGAAAATAAGATTTTAGTTCAACTCGCTTTTAACTCCCTAGAATTCTCATACTATATATTTAAGCATTTAGCACATTTTTTAGAGCATAAGGGAGAAAATTAGTTTCAATGATTTGATGTAGTGCTTACGCTTTTTAATGCATTTACACGATTTACTTGCCAGTGTCTTGATGCACTACAAAAAATAATTGTACACTTGCTCGATCTTTAGTGCACTTATATGATATGCTTGTGTGTTCGTCAGTATACTTGCACATTCTTTTGTGTGGTTACAATGTGCATTTGCATGTCTTCAGTACGTTTACATGTACATTTATGTACAAGTGGACAAGATGTCTTTTGATGATTTGGCACGCCCTATGCACTTTGTTAAAATGGTCATACAATCTATGGCGCGCAGCAGTACAAAGCTTTCTCATTTGGAAAATATCTGTTCCTGTGGCATATTGTTGGTTCATAGGATGTGTACGAGCCCTCTTTTTTAGTTATTAGCATATATGTCATCTATGGCACTTGTGCGCTTATGATATGTGACAAATTTGATAATTTTGTCTTGTTTGAAAGGAATTTATGCGGTTGCAACTGTTTTGGATGTGTAAGGGCTTGATGTGGCAGTTGTTCATGTGTGTATTGTTATTAGTGCGTGCTCATGACTTTGCATTTTAAGTTCATTATTGCTCGTTGTATGCTTGTGCGTGTTACGAATTTGGTTGCGGTTGTCACGAATCAATATCTTAGCATATTGTGTTTGGTTCATGGAGGCTACCTGGCTGGGGAAGGTTTATAGAGAAGGATATTGAAATATGCAAATTGATATAGAGGAAAGCAATAAGGATGTTTCTTAAGGTATATAATCATTATATTATCAACAATGAGGAAATGGATTCATGAGGCTAATATGTTTTACATTTCAAGGTTGCAAATGAACCAAGGCTCGTTGATGTATACAAAAAAATTGTTTAAATTTGATTTATGCTCAATTATATGTGATCAAACATGCTAAAGTTTGGCATTTATAGCACTTGATAATAACCGAAATGGGCAGATGGCTTTTCATTGATGATTTCCTTCTTAACAAAGAAGAGTGCCCTTACCTTTTCTTCACAACAACATCGGAAATTTCCCGCCAGCCACACAACTACACCTCTTTGACTGATGTTGAGAGTGCTGGCATTGGTTGAGAGGTATAACTGATGTTAGGAAGGGGAGATTGAAAAGTTAGGTTTGCATTAGTTGATTTGAGTGGGTAGGGAGGATTTGAGGGTTTGACTAAACAAGTCCTTGCTCGTCTTTTGAAGTTTTAGCTTTTTTCGTGCCTAGCTTGATTGCTAAAAGAATGCTTTGAGTTTGAGCGAGAACTTCAGACAAGCTTGTGTTCTCTAATTGGTTTATAGTCTTGTATAGACTTGGGATATGTAATTTATGTAAGTAGACACCCACTGTATGATTGGTCGTGATGTGTTAAAATGGGCAATTTTACAATCAAATATATGTTTATTAAAATCCCACTCATTCAAACTCTATACTTGATGTATAACTAAATGTGTTTGTTGATATTTTACCTTTGAAATTATACACTTCTGAAAGAGTAGGAGCAATTAGTCACTTCCAATGATTTAAACGATGAATGAAAACACTAAAGCAATGATTTAGTTCAAGCAATAAAATACATGATAAATATTTAGAGCACAAAATAATCAATCAAATTAGATTTTGCTTAATGTGGGGTTTTCGAAAGAAATCTCTTAATTAATATTTAGAATAGTCACTATTTAAGATCCCTCACTCTCACTCTTAATAATTGGTTAAGCTGAGAAAGCTTGCATGATCTTTGTAATCCCTCAATTGAGAGGGACTTAGAAGAAATAAGATTCATGAGAGAATTCACCTTTGTCAAGATTCGGAAGAAAGTTGCCACTGAACGGGAGGTTGTTGTTGAACAATAGCGATTGTAAGGGAGAAGAGGATTCGTTCCACATACTCTTCGACGGAGTGGTCGTTCTCAAGGTCTATGTCGAAGAACGCAGATCGTAGAATGTCAATTAACCCTTGATCGTCGAAAACGAAGCTGTGATCATGTTCTGGATCGGCCATAAATGAGGGGACAACAAACTATAGATTGGGGAACTTCTGAACAACAAACAAAGGACTTCCGGACGGAGGGACATCAAACGGCCTTTGTTGAAATTTTTGGACGGCAATTTTTATATGTCCAAGAAACCTGGTCAGTAGTTTTGCGAGGTGGAAATCCTTTGGAATCGTTGTTCGAAAGAAGGAAGTTAGAAGGACTAATTCCAAGTAGAGAGGGGGAGGTGTTGGGGGCCGGCCATAGAGGAAGGAGAGGGGAAGTAGCTCTGGATTTTGTGTGTTGATAAAGGAAGGGAGGCAATTCAGAATTTGAAATTGAATTTCATATTTTAATATTTGGAGAGGAGGAAAAAGTTTGAATTGTAATTCTCCAAACGGGGGGCGGGGGACACCTTAATGGGAGGTGATTGGGTTGGGAGCATTAATGGGAGAGAGATAATTGGAGAGAGGGGTGGGGCCGGTAGCTAGCATGGGTATAGGGTTTGATTGGAAGAGTTAATGTTTGCTATATTTAGAATCTTAAAATAGGAAAGTGTATTTAAATCAAATCCTATTTAAAATTCAAATAACACATGATTAGAGGGCTTTCCTAAATTAACTTGTTTTTTTTTAAATTTAGGAAATAGATTTCAATTTAAAATTTACTTGAATCTGAATTTAAATGCTTTCCAAATTTAAAAGGGATTAAATTAGGAAAGTATTTAAAGCTTAGATTTTGAAAATTTGAAACCAAAGGGAAGGAACACAAGGTGGCCGATGGCTAGGGAAGATGGTGGGGCCTTGGGGGCCGGCAGTAAGGAGGGGGAGTGGGGATTTAGGCTAGCGGCTTAGGAGAGGGGAAGGGGAGGGAGGGTGGAGTCGGCCTAGGGTTTGGGTGGTGTTTCAGCCAAGAGGGAAAAGGGAAGATTGGGTGGAGGGGGTTGGCCTAGGGTTGGGGGTGTGGGGTTCGGCCAAGAGAGAGATATGGGAGGTGGTGGCTGGTGGTTTAAGGAAAAGAAAGGGGAGGAGGTTGGTGGAAGAGGTGAACCACGAACCCGGACGCTTCTTGCAGCTGGTGGGTAATACGCTGCCCTCATCTAGGGACTTAGAATTCTCACAGGAGCTCTCAAACTCACCATAACACAAGTGTAGAAAATTTCTTCATAATATTCATCATCCCTCAAAAGGAAGAGGAGGGGGATTTAAATAGCCAAAATACAATAGCGAGATGAAAGACAAAAGTGCCCCTAAGGGTCACAAACAACTACTCCCTCAAGTGAGGGTAAAAATGAAAAAATTGCGGTAATAAATCAAATACACATATAATAATAATAAACCTAATATAAATTATAGCTCAAAAATAAAGTGGTGTGATCGTGGTCATAGATCATCGGCCCCTTCTTTGGTACTCTTCATGGTCGAATGTCCTCATCAGTACCCTCTATTATAAATGGATGCACAGATAGAAATTTGCTCTATATTATACTGAGAAGGATTTGCAAAATATCATGTCAAGGAGGATGGATCCAAGGGGACTAAAGTTGGGTTCCATACAATAATGGTCGAACTCATCTTCAACTTAAAAGCTTAAGCTTTTCGATGAGGGCTAATTACTTGGCATGTCAATTCTAATATATTTGCTAATTATCTGCTATGTGGTTGAACTCATTACTCACATGAATTTTACTTCAAAGAATAGGACTAGCTTGTAAGAAAATAATTGCTCGTTGGGGTTGCATCCACGTAAGCTTTTCCAAGTTGTTGGCTTTCATATGGGGCTCCATAATAGTTTGAAACAAAACAAAAGACCAAACTTTTCCGACCAAATTGCATAATGATGCTTATGGTATTAGAAATTTATGAAAGTGTTCTTGTTATATGGTCAGTATCTCATTCTACATTTTGCCTGAATTGTTTCTCCTAAAGTTCCTTCATCCATAATTCGTGAACCGCCCATTCCTCCTTCGTAAGCAAAAAAGGACATCAAAGAGCTGTGGAGATATAGCCATTCTTTCTGAAAGATATTAGTGAATTACGGGTGTCAAAAGAGGTGTATGCAAGTTCTTTTGTATTAATTAGGGACTTCGACAAGCTTAGGTTTGTTGTATTAAAGCAAGCAGAATCCCTTATGTTTTTGAACTGGATATTTGAAAATTTTGATTCTTGCATCTTTAGACTGATATTTAGTAACATTCTCATTTTCTTCTTCCCATGAGATTACCTTTTCTGTGGAATAAAAAAATTCGTAGGACCTTTATTTTTGGTTGGCTGCTGTCCGGCCTGCATTATCATTGTAGCCCAAGTTGCACCTATGTGCTTATGCGTTCATCTATGGTGGAATTGACACTATCCCTCGTGCGTGGTGGTTCCAGCCAATATTTCTTAGGGTCTAAACTCTAAACTGCTCTTTTTTTTTTGTTTTAAATTTTGTTCTTGCTTATGTTATATAACCATTTGTAGATATCCTATTTGAATAAAGCTTCACAATTTCTCAGATAAGAAGTTCAACCCTCAATCCATTTCTTAGTATATTTGGAAGTAAGGTCCAATAATTAAGTTGTTTTGTTATGTGGCTATTTATAGATAAGTTCTTGGTTTTTTTTTATTTTTGATAATCTGATAAATATTGCCATTATTCTCCTTGCACTATTTTTGTTGTTGTTGTTTAGTCTGCATTGTTTTCTGCTGCGTCACATGTTTAATGCATGCTGCAGAGAGAAGTCTGTCGGTTGCTGCCATCTACTACAAGTGATCAGAAAGGCGTAAGTATTTTAATGCCAACCTGTTTATTCAATCCATATTATATGTGCAATGACTTTTCTGTTTCTGACATGAACTTGAAATGGGATAGAAATTGTTAATAGATTAGTGATAATGAATATCATTGATGCTCTCATTTCTTATCATTTTCCCATGCTAATAAGATGTAATTATTTCCTTTGCCATGAATTTCAAATAGTGTATTTCATGTGTTATTAGGTCGGTTGCAGCATAGTTAGCTTTGTGACCAAAGCTATCAATTAGTAGTTTATCCACTTTGTTGTTGCTTTTGTAGTATTGAGGGAGAAATCTTGCTTTCATGTCAAATTATGGAGAAGAGTAGTCTTCAAAGTGGAATGTAAATGAAACAAGGTGATACTAATGCAAATATGAAAATGTGAACTGAAAGTTTATGAAATTTGCTAGACACAACAAGAAGTAAAGCATACCACTAAGGGAAAAAGCATTATAATGATGAGGGCTTGACTATGATGTAACTAGGATGTGGTGAGGTGATTGAGATGAAGGTTTGTGGTTACTAAGGGGTGTTGAGGTGTGTAGAGGCTGTCGGAAGGCAAGGAGATGGATTTTGGACTGTTTTGAGAAAGCTTATAAGGAAATAGAATTTCATGGCATGAAGTGAAGGGATTGAGAGAGGTAACTCTGGAATATAAGAGGGAATGCAAATACTACTATAACAACAAGTACAACAACATTAAGCCTTTATTTCACTACGTATAATTAGTTATATGAATCTTTTTTCTTCATTGTGTCATATTAAGAGAGACCGCAGATGATGAAAAAATAGTAAATAAAGTGGAATAATCATTATATATATACTGCCTCACTAAAGAAAGGGGGTAGAGGAGGGTCAATATGCCAACCTCGTCGATCAAGCCAGTTCCAAAGGTATAGTACTTTCTAAATTAATTTCAATTCATTATAATATGATATTACATGCCATTCCTATACATATAATTAGCATTTGAATTCATTGGATACATAAAGAATTGAAAGACAATATTAAGTTGGGTTGGCCAAAGGGGATGCATCTTGTTTTGGCATTCTTGAAGTGCATGCATTTGATGCGGCAACTGGAAGCACAGCTGCCCAGGCAGGACCTAGGACCTAGGACCTCCTTTATTATCTGTAGGAGAAAAGGGTTTTGTGTTGGGGGGGGGCGGGGGTGTCAGTTGTTTTTGTTGGGTGTTTAAGTTAGTGGTTATTAGGCATTGCGGGAGAGACGATTCATCTCTCAAACAGTGAATCAACTTGTATCTTGTCTTTCTTTGCTTGGAGATTAGTAAAAATAATCCCCTTGGTGTTATTTTTATATCTATTTGGAGTAAGTTTGCTATTTTTTATATTGTTGCATGCTATTTTAATCTTCAAATCCTATGAAATTGGTATCAGAGCACAATACGAGACCTATGGCACAGAAGAAAATGGATGCGTTGGAAGGGAAATTAGAATGAGAAATTGGTCAATTCAAATTTGAAATTGAGGAACGAATTTCATCCATGAATGGAAGGTTTTCTAACCTAGAGGATATGATGAAGAAAAAAATTGGAACTTCACACCCAACCGATAACATCGGAGGTGAGAGCACCAGCAGATGGCCAAGGAAGTGGGGGAAACACCAATATTGGCACAATGGGGGGTGATTGAGATGTAGAAATCTTGAGCGATATGGAAAATATGCGACCTTTTGAATCAATAACCATGAGGGAAATGGGTGAAGGATATGACATGAGTAGAAATTGGGAGGAAGAAATGAGGAGGCTTGATTTTGAGGAAGAAGATATCTATGAAAGGAGGGGTGAGAGAGAACAATAGAGAGATCACAACAATCGTGACATGGGAGGAGCTGGAGGTGGAAGAGAAAGTTGGGGCGGAGGGAATTCGAGAGTGAGAAAGCTAAAGATGCTTGTTTTTTAGGGGGAAGATGCTAATGGATAGATCTATAGGGTGGAGAGGTATTTTGCACTGAATGGGTTGACAAAGGAGGAGAGACTTATAGCAGTGGCTTTATACTTGGACAAGAAGGCTTATCTTGGTATTAGTGGAGAGACATGAGAAATCTAATATGATCATGGCGTTCAAAGATAGTTTATTATAATATTTTCAAACCAATTAGGAAGGAGTGTTGACTTTAACTGCTCATACCACTGAATCTCCCGACCGACATACACGACACAACCGTCCCCGGTCCCACCTCACGACGATTATCGCCAAACGAAGCAACTGTTCGTTCAAAAATTGCAAACCGACATACTCACGACATAAAATCCTCTCTCGTTCGCTCATTCACGGACTCACGCTCTAAGAATCGCAAGGAAAGGGGAAAGAAGAGTTCGGGAAACTTACGGTGCCATCGCTCGACGGCCGAACTGCGTCGTCTCCGACCGCATCTCCTCCAGACTGCTGACTGTGCCTCCTCGGAGCTTGAAGCCAACCCGAACTCGCCGACCGACCCAAACCTCCTCCTACTCCGACCGTCCTCCCGCCTGAGCCGACCGACGCCGCCGTCCTCCGGCCAAGCCGACGCCGCCTCCGCCTTCGCCGAGACCCGTGCGTGCGTGACTCCGGCTCCGCCTCCCTGTCCAGATCGGGCTCTGCCCTAGCCCGATAATGGCTCTTTCCCTCTCTATTATATCTAATATAACACATATGTTATAATATAATATTATATATATAGTATTATATTATATCTGTTATATTATATATAAGAGAAATAAAATATTATATTTAATAAAATAAAATAAGAGAGAAATAGAGATGGAGAGAAATAAAAAGATTTCAAACAGGTGTCGAAGACCCCAGCCGTCGTACTTTAGGTTCGGCCGGATGGTTTGAAATTGAAGACCTGCGCCATTGATTTTTAATCTGGGCAGATAGGTTTTAAAATTTGAAGACCTCACGCAGTCGATCTTAGATCCTGGTGAGATGGTTTGAAGAAGACCCTACGCCGTCGATCTTAGGTCAGGGTAGGAAGAACTACGGCGTGCCGTCCCGATTTCTCCCTCGGTGGGGAGGAGACGCCGGGAGGTTGCCGAAATTTTCATTGAACAATACAGGACTTGGACAAAAAAAAAATAAAAAATTGATTTGAACGAAATTCAATAATAAAATCAATTTTAAATTAAAATTTGATCGAATGATGTTGGACTTAAATTCGAACTGGACTCAAATCTGAACTTGACCTTAATCAGGATCTCGCACTAAAAGAAATAATAAAATTACTCGGGCCACTTTCAAATCATTTTGGAATTTTACACATGTAAGCTTTCTCTTATAGAGGATTGCTCATCCAAAGATTAAAAAATTACAATATCTTCCAAATCAAAAGACAACACTCCCAAATATAGATCTATTCTTTTCAATCATATATATATATTCATCATTGCATTAGATGTACTCTTATGAGTCAAAGGATTCAGTTTTCATAAATATATAGGTTATATGTACCCCTTAGTCAAATCAAAATCATACATTTGCACACATGAGGTGTAACACATGATACTTCAAAAAGATATTGCAATAGACGTTAAACATTTAAAAGATTATTGTATGCAAGGGGTAGTATACCTAGCAATGGAATGTTTAAAAATAAATTGAAAGAATTGTGAATGATGTTAAAAAGAGATATAACTTTGAAGGAGAAATTAAGTTTAAGCAGGCCATTCATTGTTGATTATGTCAGGGTTTCTAATATCCATATGATTGAGTGCTTCTATGAGTCTCTTAAGAGAGATATATTGTGTACCCATTAATACATCTTAAGATACGAGTATGGTGGAGATGCATTAAGAGGAGAAAAGAAAGAAAATAACAGAAGATTCATAGCAACCAATACAATTCTCCTACGAATACTAGAATACGATCTTCTAATATCTATTGGATAAACATCCCTTACAAGCTATAGTAGATGATACGATAAGCTTGAATAAATTAAACAACACATCTTATACAATCACCACTCAAACCTGATTTAGATTCACGCCACCGGATCTGCAACATGTATACAAGCGGACAGAAGACGTTCGTAGGCCTCTTAAATGAAGTTTTGGGTATTTTCTAAATAAAATTACTCTCGCATAATAGATCATGTTTAAATATTTTAAAATGCCCCTTATGTATTAAATATGATCCCTTAAATTAAATACCCTTGCATGTGCTCCGACAAATGCTTTAAAGTTATAAATACAGATGTCCGAGAATGCTGCGCAGGGTCAAATGACATAACCCGCATGTGCTCCGATCTTCGAATATAAATGTCAAATCTAACGATTCGAGAATGCTGCGCGGGTCTAATATTCAAGTTTCATCCTCCTCCTCAAAAGGATCACGGTCAAAGTCCGTATGTTCCCTAAAGGCGTCAAACCCTTGAGTTATGAATTATATGGTATATATGATAGGCATAAAGCCTTCTGTTAGCTAAGGTGGATTCAGATATATCCCCTTAGACAAACACCAACCCAGGTCTACAAGGTATTCTTGGACGAAGCAACCCATGGCTGCCGACAAGATGCCTTCTGTCAGGTTGGGTCGACTACCTCCTCTGACTAAGTAGACCAGGGATCATGACAGCCCGGGACGACGGAACCATGGGATCTTGATCGGGCTCGTCTTCATTCCCCCCGCCATCAGTTTTAAGTTTGTGGTGATAAACTCTAAATTTCAAATCATCCAAATTCAAAATTTAAACCCTAAAATTATTGCTATTATACGATAGGTTCATAACCTATGTGACATCCTTAACGACTAGCCTTAATCGAAAGTTCTCTCTCGTTATCGGGAGGGGTAATTAACTATAGTGGCTTGCGCCTATAGGAAACCAAAACTCAGATCAAAAAGTCCTCATTAAATGATGGCGAAATCTCTGGGTAGTGTCTTATCTAAAACCCAATCTGCCTTCTGAAAATTCCCCCGGAACCTAATCTCATTAAAACTCTCTATCGTCGTCGTCACATAAATACTTAAAAGAAAAATTGACGGATGTCGTGGAGAGGCCGGGATCAAACACCTAAATTGGAATTTTTGGAGCCCACAAGGAGACTTCTATGAGCAGTTCTTTGCTCTGGTTCATGAGAGGACAATGATGGATTATCGAGAGAGGTTTGAGTACCTTTTTAGCCGATTGTGAATGCTATCTAAGATAGTGTTGGAGATTAATTTCATGAAGGAGCTCAAGCCAGAGATTATGATCACTATCTGATTATTGAGGCCACGAGAGTTGGGGGAGGCTATGGAGCTAGCCCAGTTGGTGGAGGATAAAAATTCAATTGAGAGAAATAACAAGGGTAGCAGTTCGGGAGCTTCATACTGGACAAATACTACTTTTTTAGCACCAAAGGTACAACCTATGCCCATTCAGAGAGAATTACCCAAAGATAGGGGATTGGGAGCACGACCTGGGAGAAATTTTGAGCGGCTGGCTGAGGCAGAGGTTTAGGAGAAGCGGGCTAGGGGATTGTATTTTTGTTGTGATGAGAAGTTTGAATCGAGCCACCGATACAAGGACTGTTCATTGCAGGTACTTACAGTATGTGATGAGCAGGAGATTCTAGAGGAGGAGGAGCATTTGTATCTAGATGTGGCAGAGGTCTCACTAAGCTCGGTGGCGGGGTTTACCTGAAATCATACCATGAAGGTGAGGGTACAAATTAGAGGAGAATCAATGATAATTTTGGTGGATAGTGGGGCAACCCACAATATCATCTCCAACTAGCTGGTGGACCGGTTGGGGCAAAAGCTGGTCGACACGGGTTGTTTTGTCGTGATGATGGGAACGTGGAAGGTGGAGAAGAGTAGAGGCATCTGACTAGGGATGATGGTGATACTTCAGGAGATCTATATGAGGGAAGATTTATTTGCCTTGGAGTTAGGTAGCACATATGTAATTTTGGGCATGAAATGGTTGCAAACCCTGGGGAAGAGCAAGGTGACTAGAAGACATTGATTATGGAATTCATGGTGGGAAAGTGGAAGGTGAGGATTAGGGGGGATCCTAATATTTCCAAAACCATGGTTTCTCTTAAGATCATGGTTAGGGAAATCCAGGGAACATGGATAAGATTCTTGGTGGAGCTCCAGAGCCTCAAGGGAGGGTAAAGCATGGATAAATAGTAGGAGGTTCTAGAGATAGTTTACTCACACTTGCAATTATTCAAGGAGGTGCTCCAACTGCCACAAGGCCTACCTCTCCCAAAAGAGCATGAGCATGCCATCATCCTGAAGGAGGGGATGTTACTTTCTATTTTGACCCTGTTTAGTCAAACTAGAGTGTAACAAAGAAGAAGAATATAAGCAGATGTAACTCTTACGAGCACCCATCATTGAGGATGGGGATCTCGGGTTGGTTAAGTCGGATGACGCTAAGTGTTCGGCTTCAGGAAGAGTAGGGGACGGGCTTATGGAGATCGGCAAAGGAGTCGGCTACAGGCAACCGGTTGGGGAAGGCTTTGGCTAGATAGGGGCTTGCGTGGCTTACGGGCCCGGCGGCCTGGGGCAAGGGTGCGATTGGCTTGCTTAATGTGAAAATTTCATCTGACTTGCATTATTGAGCTAGATTTCTTACCTTCTATTTTTATTGCTTCTCTTGGTATGCGGCGACTCCTTTTCACCTTCCGGAAAATGAAAAAATTGCTTTAGATTGCATTAGTTTGTGCTCCTTGCATGTTTACGTAATATATCATAGCGGCCTGTTCGAATCTCAAGAAGGATGATACCATTATCGTTATTTATTGCATCAAATATAGCAGTTTTCTCAAATAATTATGTCGTCTGGTTTGTTAATATTAAGTAGAATAACGATCACTTTATTTTCTTCGTTAATGCGTTACATATGAATTAACATCAAAGCTATTTGTCTTTAACCTACAAAGAGGCGTGCAGTGTCCGACAAGACACACGTCCGACACTCCCCCGACACGTGTCATACACGCCAAAAACGTGTCAAATTAAAAAAAAATATTACATACAAATTGGATATGCGTGTCCGACACGCGTATCTTAAATATTTTATGAATTTTTGTATTTAAAATTTTTACTTATTTAAAATATAAAACTAAATTTCTTATTTCTTATTCACAACACCAAATCAATCGCCTGCACTTAATATCTCATTCATCGAATATTCTTATTTTCATTTCTCTTTGGCGGGTTACAACTTTGATTTCACAACGATGCTTGATGTCATCTCAAGATCAACGTATGACGTCGTTACAACATCAATATTTCAAAACAATCTCCATATCAAAGTCTAATCTTTGTCCAACATCGACGACCAACGCCCTCTCAACATCGACGATAAACATCCTTTTAATATTGACGCCCAATATTTACTGCATAACATCAATGCCCGACTCTCGACAGCATTTTCATCTTTTTTCTCGATGACTGATAAATAACATCAACGCCCGACTCTCAACATCCTAATATTAATCACTTAAGCATAACTTCTAATTAAATGATTAATTATTTATTTATTTTTTAATTATACTTATTCAATTTGTACACTATTTTTTAAATATAAAAACTATAATATCGTGTCTAACCCATGTCCGTGTCCTATATTTTCAATAATTGATGTGTCCCGTGTCCGTGTCGTGTCGTATCCGTGTCTCTGTATCTGTGTCTGTGCATCATAGCCTTTAATGTAACTATTTTATCTTGCCTTGCAGTTTAGTGATTTCATATCATATTTGAAGCAAAGAGAATGCGCTGGGGTTATAAAAATTCCTGCTACGAAGTCGATGTGGGCAAGGTTGCTTTTTATCCTCCATCACTCCCTCGATATTTGCTCAATGTTAGGGATTGCACCTCAGCCAACCGAATGCCTAATCGCATTGGTTTTACCGAAGGAAGCACATTCGGACTTGGTATGACCGCTTATGTAATTCAGACGACTATTTGTGTTATTCTTCTGTTCCTTATTTGATGTTTGATTCATTCTTAAAGAACAAGGTTTCCGGTGTATATTATTAATTGAGCATCAAAAGACCACAATTAGCCTCTTGAAGGACCACAAGCAGAAATTTCTCATCCATCTCAATCAAAATCTGGAAATCTTCTTGATCAGAGAGAGGGAAGCAATTTATATAAAAAATGCTCAGGACTAACCTAATTTGGTTTCATAGAGGAGGATTGTAACTGCCTGGCTTCTATGGAGGTAACCTAGGATAATTTTTACTGCACTTTCTCACCAAAAGATTGTTTATATTTTTAATTTGATTTAGTTGATAGCTTTTTTGTTATAAAGCTTTTTGCAAACTAGGAAAAATTTTCAAGCTAGTCTTTACACAAATTAGCCTCGGCAATATGAGAGTTTTGCTTTGTGGCAGTAGTGAAGATCTTAGTTCATTCTGGGTTTAGTTTCAAAAAATTTGATTTCAGGCTAATTGATTTGTGGTTTGGTTCATTAAAAGCATATGCCCCGGTACAATATTCATGCGAGGAGAGGCCTTGACTAGCACAAATAGGAACGAATTTTCTCATCTCCTCGTTGCTTACAGGTACAACTTGGCCTCTCTTTCAGTAATCCTAATTTAAATAAATATATATTTTTTGGTGTATCTTTTACTGATTTTATTTTATAAAAAAATGAAATGTAATACGAGGCGTGCAACTTTATGTAGGCACTTCATTGACTTCATAGTATTGAACATGGAAAAAGTTTTACGTGCGAAGTTCGGAGGTAGCTCGCATATGGACTTTAATGAAATCATATCATATAGCTTGTACACAGGGTGTGTACAAGCCATGTGGCTTGATTTCATTGGAGTCCCGGACTCCGCACGTAATAAATTTTCCTTGAGCATGTGCTTAGAGGATATCTTAATTATATTGAGAAAGAAATAAAAATCCTTATAGCTCATCAAACATCATTAGAATAAATACTTTAAAAAGCTGCCAAATCTTTCTTAGATTTTATTTGGGATAGTTGTTTTAAGCTGAAATTTTTGTACTAAAAAAATTGTTATAAAAGTAGTAATAAAATTGTCCAAAATGAAGGCTTAATGTAGTTGTAGCAGAAGGTTAGCTAACTTTCTTTTTTATGTGAAATGGCAGGTTGATCATTGAGGTAAGCTGTCTGATTTTGGAATTTAAATAAATTAATAGTGGGGTCCGAAAATTTGTGCCACAACCTCCCCTCTTTTTAGGAGAGTTTTAACGAATTAAATTTTGGGATAAATTTTTATAAGACATGATGAGTTTGAAATAAGACACCAGTCAGAGATTTCACCCCTAATTTACAAAGACTTTAGATCTGAGTTCTGGTTTCTTATAGGTGCAAGCCCTTATAATTAATTACCCCTCTTAGTAATGAGAGATAACTTTCAATTAAGGCTTGTCGTCAATCTGATTTTTAATATACATCTAGCATATAGTAGCGGTGTGTTTGGATGTTTGGAAGTTTAATATTTAAAATTAGAAATGCACCATCTTGTATTTAAAGCGAATAGTATGGGGAATGGTAATGAGCCTGATTAAGATCTCATGGTTCCGTCGTCCCAGGCCACATGGTTCATGGTCTACTTAGTCAGAGGATGTAGTCGACTCAATCTAACAAAAGAATCATTGACCGCAGCATGGGTTGCTTCGTCTGAGGATACATTATAGTCTTGAGAGATGAGTATTTATTTTAGGGGACAAACTTGAATCCATCTTAGCTAATAGAGGGTTTTGTGCTATATCGATTATATCTTATTGATTCATATCTCGAGGATTTGAAGCCATTGGAGAGCATACGAACTATGATCGTAATCATAATATAGTGGAGTCGTTTGACCAATCCACTAAGTCAGAGGGTCGCAGTTATAATCATTGATCATGTGGAGCCATTTGGCTAAATCACAAATTCTTTGTGGAGCCATCCAGTCAAACTATCGATTAGAGGACCAATGTCATGTCCTTACTGGCAAGAGATTTTGATAATGAATCCTAGTGATATTTTCGACCAGATACTAGCTCTTTGTGAGCTGAAATGTATTTTCAAACTTGTCTACCTCGATAAATTGTTATGGAGTGTAGATGGATTTTGCTTTAAGCGTTTGATGACTTATTTCAATTTTTAAATATTTCATGTTTCAATATTTTTTTGGAGTTTTAAATTTTGTGTGCATTTGGGTGACATTTTTAAATGTTTGTGGTCCTCTCTGGTTGAGATACATATTCAACACTGCCATCATCGTGATGTTATTGTAGCCATTTGGAAATATTTGCATTTTATAAGCATTTAGAGACATTTGTAAGTATAGAGTCTCCTCCGGTTGATATAAACATTAAACACAGCTATCATTGGGGTGTTATTGTAGTCATTTGAAAATATTTTCATTTCATAAGCATTTGGAGGCATTTGAAAGTGTAGAATCCTCTCCAGTTGATATAAACATTCAATACGATCATCATCGAGATATTCATGGACACTTTTATTTTGTTGAACCTTGTTGACCCTATTGTGGGTCTCCGAAAGGATTCCGCTCGTGTGGTTCGAATGCAAAGGGTACGATCACACTATCCCGTAGGACAAAATGGTCGTAAAAAATTCACGAGATTTCCCCCATTCGATGCATCAGCTCGAATGGGGTTTATTTGATTGTGGGGATCGGTTTCCTACGGGCGCAAGCCCCCGTAGTTAATTACATCTTAGACCTTGGTCTAAGAAGACTCTCGATTAAGGATAGAGTATTATTCTCTTCTTGATTTGGTGCGTAGGAAAAGTTCATAGATTCTACTCCAAAGAGTCTCTTCTATTTATCTTTAATGATGATTAGACCATTTTGAATAGATAAAAATATGATTAAAATTTTGAGTTTAAAAGATCAAAGACCGAATTGCTACCCTGAGAGAAATGACAGACTCAAAACACACAAGAAGTTGAAGGACACACTGAGGGTGTACAACCTGGGTTTATGCTTGCCTGGAGTGAGCTGCCAGCTAACATCCTAAACACAATCAATTGCCCTATATGCATACAAGATAGGAAAGCTCTATCCTAGAAAGTCAAGGAATCATAGTTCAAGAGTTTTCAATCAGTGACTCTATAATATGCAGAAGGATATACCTAACGCCATGTATGATGCATGAAATGGATATGAAATATCCCTAAGTCTACTGATGTAATGCATGTATGTAAGTGGAGTACAATGTGAAGTAAGGTGTGTAAAAACAAATGCATGCATGACATCCAGAGTACAGAAAAAGTAAATAAACACACCAGATACCCTCCAGGCAAGGTATCTGCACAGAAAATCATCCTAGCAATGCCCACTTCGTATGGGAAAACAGCGATGCCAAATGGCACAATAGGTGGCCTACTCTACAGGCCTAAATGACTCTAATAGTCTTTAGGGCTCACAGAAAGTGGGGGATATCATACCCAAAACCAGAAGACCAAAATCCTAGCGATGCCCACTTCGTGTGGGAAAATAACAATGCCTAATGGCACAAGTAGGTGGCCTACTCTACAGGCCTAAATGACCCTAATGGTCTCTATGGCTCACAGAAGGGGGCAAGCTTTGACCTATAAGGCCAAAACTTCGTTAGTGAACTAACCTGAGGCTGGCTACCTAAACATACTAGAATACTTATTAACATGAAGTGTGTGATGTGAAGCAGTTCCGGTATATAATTAAAAAATTTGATTTACAAGTTGCAGAAATTATACCTGATTGTATGTGGCGCTGCCACTTAATAGCTCCAAGCAGGAAAATAATCTCAAATTGTGTCACTGCCACTTAAAAGCTCTTAATCAAATAGTCCCGCTTAATTCTTGATCATCAAGCTCCGATGTACCTCGCAAGATAAGATAAAAGAGAAATATGCATATATACTAGAATACCTATTAACAAGAAGTGTGTGATGTGAAGTAGTTCCGGTATATAATTAAAAAAATTTACTTTACAAGTTGCAGAAATTATACCTGACTGTATGTGGCGCTGCCACTTAATAGCTTATAAGCAAACGGTCCCGTTTAGTTCCCAATCATTAAGCTTCAATGTACCTCGCAAGAAAAGATAACAGAAAAATATATATATGAGCGTAGATGTCATTCAGAAAAGAAATGCAGGTAAATAATAAAAAAAAATATAACTAACAAGAACTTTAAGAATTGCATTTATAAAGCATGTGAATGTTATTGCTAGAACACAAAATAATATGCGAGTTAAATATTATTCAGGATTACAAAAAGGGTAGCCTATTGTTATTATTAAAAAAAAAAAAAAGAGTTATTATACTAACATATATATATGAGCGTTAAATACAACTCAATGATTTATAAGAGTTAATTCCTCAAATTGCTTGAATTATATGATTTCAACATAATTCGATATCTAATTAAGTATAATGATATAACAAGTAAACATTCAAAATAAATTAAGACATAAGATGCTTTGCAAGTATTTGCCAATCATGCTCAATTACCTACTTCTCCCTAATCATGAATTGTTGGATGACTTAGAAAACTTGTATGTGAGGTGATAATAATATATACTTTATGACATTTAAATCTTCAGTCATTAATATACTTACATTATTCTTATCATATTTGGAACAAAGAGGCTAGTAGTTATCACGATTAAAATCTAGTGTAATAAGAAAGGAAATATATGTGCCCAGAATTTATTAACATCAAACTTATATACAGTCTATGAGCGACAAATGTGTTTGAAACTTCACCGATCTTAGCCACAATTTAATATTTTATTAAATATTGAAGAATGCGTAAGCCTACAATCATCACAATTTAGTATGAAATGTATCCTCTTATTAGTCGAATAACAAAATTATCAAAGAAATAATAATAATAACAATAATAAGAATGATAAATAAAGTAAGCTAAACTTTAGTTATTTGAAAAAAAAAAAAGTAACTGAAATTAAAATAGTGACACACATACAACTATCAGGATGATTGGAGGGATTCTATATCTAGGACTTGAATAAGCAAGTTATCTTCCTCTTTTTAATAGTATTTAGTAAGCTGATTTACGACAATGCAAGGCTATAATCAATCTCAAATCTTTTATTAAGATAGGGTATTAGCGGAATTTATCTGTGTTAGCAAAAGAATCTCACATAGTATCAACTCCAACCCACAAATTTAACTACAAATCATTTGAGAGAATATATTTTGAGACTACAATTATTTTTCAATATAAATAAAATTATATATATAAAAATAATAATAATCTGATTACCAATTGAAAGGTTTCAAGAAAAATAAATAAATGAACCTTGTAAGTCATTAACACTAACGAGATAACGAATGAGTTTCAGTTAAGTAAAACAAACCTCATATTGGTTCTATGAGACACCTTACCAACAAAATATTTGCATGACATGTAAGATAATATTATT